TTATCGCCGTAAATTCTAGGGTTTTTTAAGATTTTTTTTATCCTTTTACATTATATTATAATGAGATAAATACGACTAGCTAGCCAAAGATTAAATATATATTTTAATCACGTTTTTATATAATTGTTGATATAAAACCTTTGATTATGTAGTTTCCACATAGTTGAATCTTATTTTATTATTTGTTATTAAGTTAAAACTCTGGCGGCGGCAAAAACAGTTTGCTATTGGCGGGATGGGAAAGTGAAATGTAGGGGAAAATTATTATTATTTTTTCTTAATTGAGAAGAATTGGGACGTGAAATTTTATCGTGAAAAAGCAAAGTGAATCAAGTAAGTTTGTAAGAGTTATATAGGGCCTTGGGTATGACACGTAGTTGGTTATTATTAGGGGATATGACACGTAGTTGGTTATTATTAGGAGATATTTTTTTTACACAAAGAGTATAAAACAATCGCTGGAGTTAAAAATAGGTAATACAAATTTTTTTGTGTAAATTTATTCTGCACATCAGATTTACACAAAATTATATACACAATGGTTGGAGATATTCTAACATAACTATAAATAAAAATAACAGTAATTAATATATTGCTGACATTAACTACTATTCATTTATGTTGCAAATATGCGCTTTATCAAATACGATATGTCACTACTTTATTCTACATTAAAGGTGTGTTTTGATTGAAGAAATTGGAGAGAAAAAAGAAATGGGGATAAAAAAAGGAGAAGATAAAAAGGAACAACTTATGTGTTTTCAAAACGAGGAGGAAAATGAGAAGATTACGATATATAACCTAGTCCCTTAAATAACATTTTGTTATCCTCCTTAAATTGGGAGAATTTTAAATGAAATAATTAGAGAGCTTTGATTACCTATATTGTTTCTAATTTTCAAAACAAATAAATAATTTTTGTATTATAAAAACAAAATAATACTATTTTTTCATTGGTAAGATTGCAAATCAATACTTTACTTTCTTTTCTCCCCGCTACCCCTTGAAAAAAAAAAAAAAATAAATTTATTTTTCCCTTCTTGATCTCCCCGCTACCCCTTGAAAAAAAAAAAAAAAAAAATTTATTTTTCCCTTCTTGATTATTCAAACATTATGAAAGATTAACACTATAATATACATTTCTTTTATTTCATAATTAAAATTACCTTCTAGCTTCCTTTATTTCTTACTTATCCAAACTATGCAATTAAACATTTGAATAAATAAATAGATTTGAAATAAAATGATTTGAATAGCAATGAAATATTTAGAAAAAAGAATAAAATAAAATTTTGGAACATAATGAGAGGTTAATACTATCATTCTTCTTTATTTTCTTTCATTATTAATATTACCTTTTAACGTCTTTTATTTCATAGTTATCCAAACTATGCAAGTAAAACATTTGAATATATAAATAGTTTTTGAAATTAAATGATTTGAATTAAATATTTCATAGTTATCGAGAGGGTTAAGTGCAAAAAACTCCCTTCTACTATCGATATGGTGCAAAACGGTCCTTATGTGGTAAAAAAAACCTCATATACTATCAATTTGGTGCAAACAGATCCCTTTGTGGCATAAAATTATGATAATATCCTCAGTTCAGTTGAATAAATTAATAACTATAAATGCAGGGATGTAAAATGACCCTTTTATCCACTTATTAAAAAAAGAAATTTTTTTTTTTTTATCATAATTGGATCGACAAAACGTGGTGGAGTCAACTAGGGTTTCGAGGATAGTCCATGGAGGAAGATCAGGGTTCATGCTGATGCTCAATGTTTATAGCCTAGGAAGACTTGTTCGAGGGATACGAGGTTAGAGAGAGAGGGTAAGGGCCAAAGAACTGGTTTCGTTAGAGAGATAAGGTTTTGAAGGGAGAGAGCTAGTTAAGATCGGAGGGTAATTTGCTGGAGAGATATTTGGAGGAGAGGTTGATGTTGGAGACTCGGTCGGAGGAGTCGCAGGAGAATCGGGTCCACTTGCAGTGGTTGGAGCTGGATGGCGTTGGTGAGATGGAATTCTTGCCCCAATCCTAGAGCCATCATTGAGACATTATAGAGATGAGAGAGAGAAAGATAGCCAATAACGCAAAAATTAAACATGATCAAAACCACATTTTGATCGTAGAATAAGGTCCACAAGACCGAGACGAACACGACGCTCCAAATATAAGCCACAGATGACGTTACATGTGCCTACACGCGCCACCTAAAATTCTACGCTTAGATCTCACGCGTTGTCACGTGTCCCATGCGTCTTCTCTGGCGATAATCCGATTCCGGTGAATTTTCCAGCGAGAATACGGTCACATCTCCGACGAGCCAAGCCGTTTAGTGTACTAATGGGTGAGGGGCAAAATGAGAATCAAAAGGGTAAAATAGGGTTTTCATATTTAATTTTTGTCAAAAAGTGGTCAGATGAGCTTATTTGCATCTTTTTTAAATTTTATGGACTAACATGCACAATTTCAAAAAGTAAGGACTAGTTTTGCATAAACCCTATATATCACTTAACCCATTTACTTTATGTCAATTTTGAAAAAAAAAAAGTGGTTAAAGGGACTTATTTGCACATTTTTAAAATTTTATAGACTGAAATGCATATTTTCAAAAAGGAGGGACTATTTGTGCACAAAACCTATATTATAGGGGGGTTTTACACATAACCCTTATCCAAACTATGCAAAGAAAATATTTGAATATATAAATAGTTTTGAAATTAAATGATTTGAATTAAAATGAAGTATTTTGAAAAAATAATAAAATAAAATGATATCTGTTGAGGTTAGATTCGTAAATCTAGTTGAATGTTAAGATAAAGGTGAAAGAAACATGTACAATGTTTGTGGAAAATGTTATTTGAAATAAATAAATAAATAAAACTCTCAAATCAATTTATCTAAATTATTTAAAAGGAAAAATTAGAATTTGGTTACCAAACCTAAACAAAATTGCGGTAAAGTGACTTTAAAGTCGAGAAAAGAGAAATAGTTACCAATTTTGATTCTTAATTGCTAATAAATGACCATTTGATGGTTTATTACATAAATATCCTTATTGTAATATACATATTTTTAATTGAACAAATTTATTATCAACATTAAACACTTTTACTGTCCCAACGAGAGGATAAGATGAAGAGGGAAGGGAATGGATCGAGGTGTATTTGAATGGTGTTGTGATTTTTAATCTTTTATTTTGTGAACAAGATGCGCGCGCGTATATATATATATATATATATATATATATATATATATATATATATATATATATATATATGTAATTCGATCAAACTTGAAAGTATATAAATTATAATTATGGATATAATATTTTTAGTTCTATGCTCGATCATGGTGGAGAGCTGTGAAAAAAGAAAAAAAAAAGTTAATAAAGAAATTCTAAATTTAAGATATAAGATTATTAAAGAAATCCTAATTTTTGAATTGGTAAGTTGCAAACTAAAAAAGGGAAAAATATAACAAGAAAGAGAGAGGAGAATTAATCCACAATTTTGTCATCTAAATTTTATTTTTAGAATATTTTATAAACAAGTAGATTTTGACCAAATTGTCCTCAAATGGTCACTTATTAGCAATTAAGTTTTAAAATTGGTTACTAACCATTTTTTCTTGACTTTAAGGTCATTTTTTAACAATTTTGTTTACGTTTGGTCACCAACATCTAATTTTCCCAAACGTAAATTCAAATTTTAACTCTAAATTTAAGCTACAACACGTTTATCCATTTCAATTAACTCTAAATTTAAGCTACAACACGTCTATCCATTTCAAATATTTAAATTCACATAGAGACTATGTTTCATCGTGTTTCATGTATTTATGCACGGATAAAAAAATCAAAAAATAAAAAAAGAAGAAGAGAAAGAGAATATGATTAACCATTAACTACAATTTAACATTATGTTAGGTTGAGAATGTTAGTTTAATATGGAAATGTTATATCATTATTATTATTATTATTTGGGTTTAATATTATTGTTCACAGGTCACACAGATTAAACTAATGAAAAAAAGCCCTAAAGTTTGGTTAACTTTGCCCAATTAGTTGATATTAAACAGTGAAAGTCAACTAATTAAAAAAATATAATGCCAAAACTATCCTTCCCTACTTTAAGTCATTTTAATTTGGACACGGCATAAGCCATAAATCAAATAAGTGCAGGTATAAGAAACTTAAATACACCCATGATTGGGCATCTCACTGAAAACTCAAAAAAACATCTAGTGTTCCCAATTTGATTTATTCTTTAAATTAATTCAAATAAATTATTATGAAATTGATTTTGAGTCAATGATACACAATTTAGCTGATTAAGCCAATAATACAAATGAATGATTACTTAATATATTTTTCTATATATAATGTTCATAATATGATGTCACATTTTTTCTCTATTTATTTATTCATTTTATGAATTGAATGGATCGAAGACACTAAAATATTACTCAGCATGAAACATATAATTAGCTTTACCAATCATATGCCTCAATTAAAACATCCAACTCAATGAAAAATGAAATAAAAAAAAGAGTCAAGTTCACGTTATCGCTCTAGTTGGTCTCGAATGGCCTCATATGTCTCATCTATACTAGTCAAGAGCAGTCTTGGTATTATATTTTTTTAATTAGTTGGCTTTTGACTTTTTTAACTGTGGCAAACCGGGGAGGTTAAGATTTTATTCTTTTCTTTTCTTTTTTCCACTAATTTAATATGTGAGCAGGGTGACATTTAACCCTTATTATTATTATTATTATTATTATTATTATTATTATTATGTATTAAAAGAATTTTAAGTAAAATGATGATTCATGAGATAGTCACTCAATCTTTCTATTTTAAGTAAAGTGTTGGTGCATCTGCTGCACGTGCGATGGTGCTACAAGCGGTGTCATTTCAATTCGCAAATTTTATCCATTATGATATTTTTAAATTGAAATTGAACTTAGTGTTTTTCTTTCTTATTTATTTATTAATTGTTTTAATTTTTGTATTTGATATTTTTATAGTTTAGGGTTTTTTTTAGTTTTTTTTAGTTTAGGGTTTAAGAGGGTGGGTTTTGGTTTTTTTTTCTACTTTCGCACAGTCCGAGTCGAAAGCTGCTAGGTTTTCTGTCATCATTTCCTCTAGTCTTTTAGGGTTTATTTCCTATCGGATAGTCTCTTGGAAGTCACCATGTGGGCGCTTCGCCGAGCCTCTAATCCTCTCAAGTAAGACACTATCTCTACGTATATGTATATATATTATACGTATACTTGTCTGTACGTGCATACATTTCTCTGTCCTGTTATATCTTCGTTTTCAAATGGATGAAATTGTTGCGATATTTTATAATGTTTATAGTAATATAGATCTGCTGATTATTTGTAATTTTTTATCTGGTTACTGAGGAAATGGTGGCTTTCTGATAAAAAAGAAGAAGAAGAAAACTCAAATTAACTAGGCCAAATGGTTGGCCTGGTCACAGTTGAATAGTGGGTTTATATATATATATATATATATGTATGTATGTATGTATTATTGAATACTAACCATTAATAAATCTGATATTAGATTTTATATTTCCTTTTATTTTCCTACCACTTCTCAGCAGCCTAACAGATTTTAGGTGATGATTCTATGACCATGGGTTCGTCTGTATTAGTCTCTCTATGTTATTGTCTGTTAATGTCATAATGATTAGTTCATGTCGTAGAAGCTAATAAGCGTCTATTACTCTATTAGGTTCCATTTTGTGTTTTCTTTCGTCTTATTTTCAGAAACTTCTTTTCTTTTTGTTTTCAGTGTGCTTTTTCTTTCGTCTGGCCTTTAATTTCATTTCAAATTTCAAAAATCACTTGTTTATCAAAATAATTTTCTTCACCATTTATTTGTTTGTATTTTTGTACAGCATCCCCTTAGTGAATTCAAAGGGGTCATTAGTTCATTTTTATTTTTAACAAATGTTTGTAGTATGACAAATTTTAGTAGCCTCATATTTAATTAGTATATTAATATTAATAACAAAAATTTGTACATCCATGGTGGATATACACACAAGAAATGAAACTGTATGAGTAAGAGAGGTCAAAAATAGAGAGAATTAGATTTCATCCAGTTTTGGGGTATAAGTGAACAGAAAAGACAGTGCTCAAATTTCCACTTGTTTTCATCATTAAATGTTCTGTTTTAAATTTTGTAAGTTGAATTGAATATGTAGTCCTGGTATCATAATGGCTGCTCCTAAGATTATTTGACAAAGATACATTTGATTGTAAACTGATGCTGGCTTTTAGTTTGTGCTGCTTTAGTGTTGATGACCATTATCTCATCATTCTTCCTTTCATGGACTCACGAATGATTTTATTTATTATGATATTTATAATATATGTAGACACCACATTTTGCCCCACCTTCTATTTCAGCCATTTTTCATCATTTGGGCTTCATAAAGTTCATAAATGGGTGCAATCAAGGGGTTCCAAAGATTCCACATCCACCTCAAAGGTGGAAATTTATCATCTCCTCACATCAATTTTACATTTAAAAAAAATTATTTTCAGAGCTTTCAAGTAATAATTTCTCAAATCAAAATCTTGTTGAAATCAACTTAGAGTACTCTTATGTCAAATCATATATTTTTTCCGAACTACGTTGGATCTGATTCTTTTCTTTTCAAATGAATGATATGTAGTTAGCCTAAGACCGCCCTTTGGTTCGATTCAATCAATCAAACAATTTAGGTTTGTTTCAATTTCATTTAGTATTAGTTGCATTTTTCATTCTCTCGCATGTAGCACTTAGGTTATTCTTGGAGTAGGTTAGTTCATATTGTTTGAGTCAAGTCTTAGGATAATGGATCACATGCATTGTGCCTAGAAGATATGAGTTTAGTTCTTCATAATAGGTCTAATCTCATTTCAATAAGGGTAAAGTAACCAAGAATCTCTAATAAGGTTCTACATGCATTTACATACACACACTTAGAGAATCACATGAAAGACCTCCGAATTCAATCATCTAGTTCGTTAGACCATATGTTTGCCATTACACTGGGCTATGCATTCAATTCATTATCACATACTTTAGGTAACCTAGCACACCAAAACTCGATGTTAGGTGGTGACTCCATTCTTTAGGCCCTATTTACATTGTGTCGCATTTAAAGTCGTATTTTCTCAATAACACCCTCATTCACATCTTTTACACATACATTCTTCATACGAGGGTGTTGTAGGGAAAATTAGGGTGCAACAATATATATATATATATATATATATATATATATATATATATGTATGTATATTTGAGGCGGAATCATTAGTACCTTTGAAAGGATTATGATATTTAAAAAGGTTTGCAGTTTTTCTGGCTATTGTAACCTGTTAGACTGGTGAACAAATGATTCAAGATTCGTCCTATTGATTGTTATAAAGGATATATATTTTTTGATGTGGAATCAGTAATACTTTCGTGAAAGGATAATGATATGTTAAAAAGTTTTGCATTTTTTCTGGCTATTATAAACTGTTGGACTGGTTAACAATGGTTCAAGACTATTGAGACTTGAACTACTCTATGGAGTCCTTAGAATATATAGGCATTTATTTCATACCATAATTTTTTCTGTATTCAAAATATCTGTATTTTTTCCAATTTTTTTTTTGGTTGGTATAATTCTGCCCCAAAAGGTTCATGGACACCATTAATCAATTGGGAACTTCTTTCCTCAATTATTTTGAACTTCTGTTTGTTTTATTATCATTTATGTTTTCAGGAACCGAGGATTTAGCATTGGAACTTCTCAAGCTGGCTTTACTAATTTAGAAATTACAGTTTGTAATTTAGATAACAAGGTTGGTATTGGTGAGTTACCCCAAGTAAAGGCCAATAGATCCCTATTCTTAAAGAGGTTCTACAACACAGCATATGATTCTCCAAAATTCTTTCTGGGAAGATTTAGTTTTTCTTCGCAAGCTGGTGCAAAAAGCAGCGGAGAGGAAGATGATGACTTGGAGGATGGATTTTCTGAGCTTGAAACTTCAGCAAGTGGCGAAGCAATTCAAAATAAAAATGCAGAGGATGAAAATGAAGATGAATTACTTTCTGAAGCTGAGCTCTTTGGAGAGGATGGTGATGGTAATGGGGAATTATTGGATTCTGAGACCGATGTAACTCAGAAAAAGTCACCAAGAAAAAAAGAAAGAGTTCAGTCGTCAATGTTGAAGGCTATCTTGGATGCTCCAGGTTTGTCTGTTCATAATGCTTTGGATAAGTGGGTTGAAGAAGCAAATTTGACCCGGGCAGAGGTATGGCTGGCTATGCTCAACCTTAGGAAGCGTCGGATGTATGGGAGGGCGTTGCAGGTGTTTTTTTTTTGACTTGATTTTTTCCTTACATATGCTTAATTTAATTGTGCATGCATCCTTGATCTTCTATGTGCAAAACCTGAAGCTAGGAATTTCAATATTCATTAAACAGTTTTCTATTAGGAAGTACTTTTGTTGACGTGCTAGGCAGAATTTCATTTTGTATTTTTTATTATCTTTGTCTTCTAAATATATTTCAGCAAAACTCTGACAAAGTTGGGGAAACTATATAAAAGTAAAAACATGTGAAAAAGGTTTTACCAAAGAACCATTTCTTTTTCATTTTCAGCACAAGCGACCATATGCTACATCTAGCATTCCCATTAAAAGCATAGCTTGGTTGTTTGGATACAAGTCAATAAAACCTTAATCCAAAGTGTTCAGGTTTTCCTGATATTTTTTGCATTTTTGTTATTTATTTTTGTTAAATGTTCTCTAAAATATTCCTCTCTATGGGCCTGATGCAACTATTGAAGCTTAAGACGTGCAGTTCTTTTCATCTCAGCCATTACTTCATGCAATGTGGTTGCTTAGTGATAGTAGAATCTAAAGACACAAAGAGAGAAAACAATGGAGGCGCAGCCCCTTTTCTTCTGCTGATTACAATAATATATATTATATGCCCTAATACATAAGGGGCATATATATAAGAGTAAGAGTTAAACTATTTACACACTAACCTCACATATTATAGAGAATTACAGAATTACCCCAACTATATATATAATTACATTCTAACACTCCCCCTCAAGCTAGAGAATATATATCATATAATCCTAGCTTGGCACAAATAATCGTCAATCTGTGATGACCTAGAGCTTTAGTAAACATACCAGCTAGTTGGTCTTTAGACTTCACAAATGGAGTAATGATATTCCCAGTCAGTATCTTCTCTCGAATGAAGTGACAATCAACTTCAATATATTTGGTCCTCTCATGAAACACAGGATTGGATGCAATGTGAATGGCTGCTTCGTTATCACAGAACAATGGAATAGGAGATTTGATTGTCAACCCAAGTTCCTCCAGAAAATGTTGTATCCATGTCAACTCACTAGTGGTATGAGCCATTGCCCTGTACTTAGTTTCAGCACTGGACCGAGCTACCACTGTTTGTTTCTTACTTCTCCATGCAACAAGATTCCCTCCTACAAATGTGCAAAAACTTGTAGTAGACCTCCTGTCTCAGGGGGATCCAACCCAGTCAGCATCTGTAAAACCTTCGACACTGAGATGACCATTCGACTTGTATAGCAACCCAAATCCCGGAGCTTGCTTGAGGTATCGAACAATTCGTAGGACAACATTCCAATGTGGTACTCTAGGAGCTCCCATGAACTGACTTACGACACTAACTGCATATGAAATGGCTGGTCGGGTGATAGTGAAATAAATTAATTTCCCAACTAACATCGATATCTACCAGGCTCGTCAAATATATCACCCTCATCAGACAAGAGTTTTGTATTTGGATCCATAGGAGTATCAGTGGGACGACTACCCAACATACCTGTTTCTTCTAATAAGTCCAACACATATTTTCTTTGAGACAAACTTGTACCTTTCTTGGATCTAGCAACTTCAATACCCAAGAAATATCTAAGTTTACCCAAGTCCTTAGTGTGAAACCGATTTTGCAGAAACAATTTCAACTTAACAATGCCTTCAGAATCATTGCCTGTAATCACAATAACGTCCACATACACCACAAGAAGAATGAAGCCAACATTGGTGTGCTGGTGAAATACCGATTGATCTGTCTGGCATCTGTTAAGACCAAATGCTAATATAGCCTCAGAGAATTTTTTGAACCAAACCCTTGGAGATTGTTTCAAACCATATTGGGCCTTCCTAAGACGACAAACAGTATGGCGATACTCCCCGGTTGCTCCATATAAACTTCTTCAGTTAAGTATCCATGTAAGAAGGCATCTTTTACATCTAATTGAAACAACAGCCAGTTGCAATTGGCAGCAATGGAGATGAGGACTCGGATAGAAGAGATCTTAGCAACAGGAGAAAATGTCTCAGTCAATGCCATAGGTCTAAGTGTACCATTTTGCCACAAGACGAGCCTTCAACCGTTCAATAGACCCATCATGATGGTATTTAACAGTGTAGACCCACTTACAACCAACCGTTTTAGAGCCCGGAAGTAAGGAAACAAGATCCCGTGTCTGATTACGGTGAAGGGCATCCATTACATCTACCATGGCTTAGCACCAATCCGAATTAGAGAGAGCATCCTGCAAAGTCTTAGGAACAAAAGTAGCCGACACTTTGGATAAAAAAAACATGAGAAAGAGGATGAAACTTATCAAAAAGAGACAAAGTTGGAAATGGGATGTGCAGTAACACATGACCGTGGAGCCTTACGGAGAGCAATAGGCAAATCATCAGATATAGGAGGTGGTGTCGGATCGAATGACTCCGAAGAAGATGGAGGGAGCGAAGTAGGCGGTCGGGGGCACCGAGTATAAACCTGGAATGGGACAACAGAGCGTGGAGGAGCGGGAGTAGGGAATAGAGAGGGAAGAGGTGGCAAAGGTGGCTTAGGAGTAATAGCAAAAGGACGACTAGAATCAGAAAAATATGGGGTAGACTTTGAAAAAGTGACATCTACGCTAGTGAAATATCGATGAAAATGAGAATTGTAGCAATGATAACCCTTCTAAGTGCGAGAATACCCAAGAAAAACACACTTAGTGACACGAAAGTCGAGTTTGTCAAGACCGGGTCCAAGGTTATGGACATAACAAACACACCCAAAGACTCGAGGAGGAAGATTAAACGACGGTGAATCTGGAAATAAGACAGAATGAGGAGATTTTCCTTGGAACACCTACGAGGGCATCCGATTTATAAGATGATAGGCCATAAGAATAACATCACTCCAAAATCGTTTGGGAACATGCATATGGAATAAAAGGGCACGACACACTTCCAAGAGATGACGATTTTTTACGTTTAGCTACTCCGTTTTGTTGAGGAGTATAAGTGCAAGATGATTGATGAATGATGCCTTTAGCTTGAAAATAGGTCGTAGAAGGGTCCGAGAAATATTCTTTGGCATTGTCATAACGTAAAACTTTAATGGAACACTCAAATTGAGTTTTTATTTCGTTTCGAAATATTTGAAAAATAGAGAATAGCTCAGAACGATTTTTCATTAAAAACAACCAAGTCATACGAGAATCATCATCAACAAATGTCACAAAATAACTAAATCCCCCATACATCGGAATGAACCAATTCAAAAGGACTTGCAACACGAATATGAACTCTAGGTTTGAAGGACACACGGCAATGCTTGCTAAACTGACATGCTTCACAAGACAAAGACTCAACACGACTAAGATCGGGGACTTGATGTTGCAAAACGGATAATGATGGGTAGCCAAGACGACAGTGCCACTGGAAGGAAGACAAGGACGACTGAAGAGCCGTGGGAGATGGGTCAAAATCAAGGTAATACAAGCCACCAACTTCATGTCCCGTACCAATCTTCTTCTTCGTTGCGAGATCCTGAAAAATACAACATGTGGGATAAAATGTAACGGAGCAATGAAGAGATTTAGTAATTTTACTAATAAACAGCAAATTAAAAGGAAATTGAGGAACATACAAGACAGAGGAGAGATACAAAGAAGATGTGAGATGAGTGGTTCCCAAACCTGAAACTTTATTGGATGAGCCATTAGCAAGAGTAACATTTTGAGATGGAGTAGAATGAAAATCAGATAAGAGATGATAGCTACTAGTCATGTGATCAAATGCTCCAGAGTCAATAATCCAAGGATTCGAACGGGAGGACAAGAGACATGCAGGTGCACTACCGGACTGGGATTGGCAAATGAAACCATGGAAGATGGGGTAGAAGTCCGTTGTTGAGTCATAAGCTGAGCATACTCATCGCGGGGAATCGTGACCATGGAAGGCTCAATAGCCAAGTGTGAAGCAGTTAGTGTCGTAGAGAAAGAAGAATCCCCTTCAATAGAGGTCACTTGATGTGTAAAGGTAGAAGGCGGCGGTTTCCCATGAAGACTCCAACAGTAATTGACCGTGTGATTAGTAAGACCACTGTAAGTACAGATTTTGGAGTCTCTACCTCTTCCACGACCACGACCACAGCCACAGGTAAAACGACCACCACCTCCACGAGAAGATTGAAAGCCACTCTGGGAGACAACCAAAGCAGAATGTTCACTGCTAGGAGGAGCAGGAACATCGCTTGAAGTACCACCTGAAGCTCCACTGGATAGAGTAGTATGCTGAAGTTTGGAAAACATATCAGGAAGAGAGGGAAGTGTAGAACTACCCAAAATCTGCGCTCGAACAGGTTCATACTCTGGTGACAACCCGGTGAGAACACGGACAACATTAAAATCCTCATGTTGTTGTTGCATACTCTTCACATCAGAGGTGATGGGCTGATACAGATTCACTTCTTCACAAATTCCCATGGCCCGTGAGAAGTATTCCTCAAGACTCGGGGTACCCTGCTGAAGATCAAAGTATTGTTTACATGACTCATAAATTCTGGTGATATTACCAGTACCCGAATACAACTGAATACAACTGTTGCAGACGATTCCAAATGTCCTTGGCAGTGTCAAAATACAATAAGTTGGAGCTAATATGAGGTTTAGTACAATTCAACATTAAAGAAATAATTTGAGCATCTCGTTGTTCCCATGAAGCGAAATCAACATCACTCTCTTTAGGTGTATCCTTAACTAAATGGTTGCCAAAGCCTTTGGCTTTCGGGAAAGTGGCGACTGACTTGGCCCATAAGACATAATTCTTGCCATTGAGCTTTACTGAGGTCATGGGAAAATTGAGAGAAGCCGAGGAAGAGAGCAAGTCAGCAGTGGTGCCATACCGAACCAGGACTCCAGAAGAGGAGAAGAGAAGCTAACCCAAAAAAAATTATCAAACCTGAAGAAGACAAGCTCGAATATGGATTCAGGTATTTGGGTCGAATCTGGATTCAGGTGTTCGGGCCGAAACTGGTTTCGGGTATTCGGGCCAAATTTGGATAACCGTGTCGTATACGGATCCGGTGTAGTTGGACACTCGTTCAGAATAGGATAAACTGGGTTTGGACAACACATGCCAGTTGCCAAACACCCCACAACGACTTTGTTTTCTTTACGGAGCTCAGCAACTCCCGGCCAGAAAAGAAAACCACCGACCAACGAACAGATTCACAAGAAGCGAGCAATTCTGCAACGCGACGGGTGATGGCAAAGGCCACAAATCGACCGCCTACCACAAATCAGGCACGGACGGCAAGCTGTAAAGGAGAGAAGACAGAGTTCGCGATCGCGACCCGACCGACAAAAACAAACTGGCGAAAGACCGTTGAAGCTTTACGGATGGAAGCTTTGTAACTTGCCAAGCAAATTCGCAGATGGGAACTCTAAAGCCTCTGCAACTCTCCAAGCAATCACACCCACAATGGCAGATCATTTGATACCATGTAGAATCTAAAGACAGAGAGAGAGAAAACAATGGAGGCGCAGCCCCTTTTCTTCTTCTGATTACAATAATATATATTATATGCCCTAATACATAAGGGGCATATATAAAGAGTAAGGGTTACCTAATTACACACTAACCTCACATATTATAGAGAATTACAGAATAACCCCAACTATATATATAATTACATTCTAACACTGATAAAGAGTCTTAGTTACTCTGCATGTTAACCTATGCAGTTCAGGCAAGAGTTTTGAAATATTTGGAGAAAATCTCTCATATTTTTTAGAAGAAGAGATCAGTTACGTTAGCGTTTCCCAGTTGAATAAAATTTTTGGCTACTGAAATTGGAGAACAAACAGAGGAATGGTACATTGGTTGTTGTAATGGAAGTTCTGTCACATTATCTGTCCACTACATGCATATTATTACATTTACATCTCTACTATTTTCAGCCCTAAATGATCCAAAACTTTTTAAATTTAATCTACTTGCAGTTTGTGCCATTCACTTCATATAAAGCCACATGGTCCACATCTTATGTTTCTTCTTTACTTTTTAATACTCCATATTATCTTGGTGCTTCATCTGCTTTAGTGACACGAGATATCGAAGTGATGAAAAAATTACTTGCAAATTAGTAGATTACTTCTTAGTACTAGGGGCTTTGAACTAGTTTGGCAGCAGAGAAGTTAGCCTTTTACATATTCCAGTGGGTAGATTACTTCTCATTATGTGGGGATTTGAACTGGTTTTGCTGCAGAAACTTAGGCCTTTACAGATTCCGGTGGTCCTTGGGTTTGTTTCTTGTATCTAAATTTTGTATAAATCTTTAATAGGGTTAAAATTATAAAACCCCCACTACTTTCAAATATCTACTTTCAAATATTGAATATGTTTCATAACACCCCAATCTGAATTAAAAAAACCCCTCAACTAACGAAACCCATCATTTTGCCCCCATATCCGTGTCCGACCCGTTAATTGAGTTGTGAAATGACAAAATTACCCTAACTATTTATTGTTAAATTTAAAACTAAAAATTATTATTCTTAATATTTCCTTGGGTTTCGCTCCCCTCTTGAGCGTCTTTTAATAATATTCTTTTATTTATCAAAAAAAAAAAAATATTATTCTTATAAAAAAAAAACTAAAAATTATTATTACTTATTAAAAAAAAAAAAAGAAATTAAAAATTATTATTGTTAATGACGATTTAAACCTTCCATTATCACCCGAATGGTCGTCCCTTTCTCTCCTCAAATAAGTCACGTGACCAAAAACCCCATCCCCACAATTTGCAGATTCAGACCTCTAAAAAATTGTTTCTCTCTCTCTCTAGATGTTCATACATATACTGATATACATACATATACATATACATACATATACATATATATATATATATATATATATATATATATATATATATATCTATCCCATGAAACAAATTGAGTCCTTGAATCTGAATTTTGTTGATTGGGAAAAACAAAAACCATATTTTGCATATTCCAGAGATCATTACAGAAGAAGCAAATTGCATCAGACCCTGCCTCTCGGGGTCTTTATCTTTATTTTGCAGTAAATTCGTTCTGCCACACGATGACTTTGATTCCGATTTTGCCCTCCTCAAGTCTATACATCGTCTCCTGGTCGACAAATTCGAAGCTCTAGCTACATACTCCGGCGAAACTTCGGTGGCTTATTGCCGGAGTATTAGCTTGGGTAGCAGCTCGTTCGAGGACATGGTGGTTTACAACGTCCTCTGTGATGCTATCAACTGCGAGGAGATCGCCGTATCAACGGATATATTTGTGGCTGCGCAGCTGAAGGGGAGGCATTACAGAGAGGTGCGGCGGTGGCCGTGGGGAAATTTGCCACGGAGATCAGGGATTTGGCAAAGAACGGGGGGCGGGTTTATTGAACAGAGGTTGTTGGTTATGAGTTTTGGTGTTGGTGGTGGTGGTGGTGGAATCCATTGCTGGTGCTGCTATTGGTGAGGTTGTTGGTACAAGTTGTTGGGCTCTGATATGGTGATTGGTTTGGGTGTTGTTGGTGGTGGAGTCTGCTGTTGCTATATTGGGTTTGGGTGGTGGCTACTGGTGAGGACGGTGAATGGACTTCATATCATTCAATGAAATCATATAATGAAAGTTCCATTACTAACTGGGTGTGTGTAAACATTGGTTTTAAAAAGCACAATCATAGTCCGAATCAGAGCAATGATGGCTCTGGTTTTAGAGAGAGAAATATGATAGTTTTAGAGAGAGAGGGGGTCAAGAGGAAGAGGATGGTCATCAGTTAATGGGTATTTTTATAATTTTAAAATAATGATGAGCAGCTTTTAATTTATCATTAAATAGTTAGGGCAACTTTGTCATTTTAAAAACTTAATTAACGAGTCGGACACGGATATTGGGGCAATGTGACCACTTTTTAAAGTGTAGGGTTTTTTATTTTATTTAATTTAGATTGGGATGTTATGACACATATATAAAACTAGTGGGGGTTTATGATTTTAACCCTCTTTAATATGAATATTCTTACAATTAAATTTGTTTTATGTTAGTCATTTCCAACCTGCAAAGTTTATTGGTCGAATGGCAGCGCATCTCCAAGAAGTATCTGTCATATGTTTTTTTTTTCCCTCTCATAATTGTATCTGCCATGTATTTGAAATTAGGAATTTTATCTTTAAATGTGGACACATCCAATATGTTTTGAACACGTCTTGCAGTGTCTTAGTGCCTGACTCATGTCTGAAACAGACACGACTGCATCCTAAAAGTGTCTATGCTTCTTAGCTTCCAATCCCTATCACTTTTAGAAGAATAGAAAAATTACTATTTGAAAGGTTGCAAAACTCGTTTTCCTCCTATTCCTTTCATTTCTCTCCTTATTTTTAAGGCTTAATTGCACTTAACCGCCCTGTACTATCATTTTGTGGCATAACCCCCTTGAACTATGTATTTGGCAGATAACCCCTGATTATCAAAAACATTGCATTGCCGACTTATTGTCCATTTTGACGTATTTTCATTTAATAACATATTTCTCTTAAAAATGGACAATAAAGTCATTTCACATTCTTATTTAACCGACAAATAACGTCAAGGGGGTAAGGTGCAGTTTTTTTGATAGTAAAAGGTAGTTTCTGCCAAAAACATAGTTTAGGGGTTATATGCCACAAAATGATAGCACAGGGGTGTTAAGTGAAATTAAAACTATTTTTAAACCAAAACTGAGGGAAGCGCTCTCTTCTCACTCTCTCTCATTTTCCTATAACTCCTTACATCCAAATGTATAGCTGTCTGCTTCTGGTTTCCTTCAATTGGCAAAGGCAAAAGTTTGTCATCGTTCAAGCAATAATTTTGTGGCTGCATTCTGTTTGCTACTGGATCATAATTACTCTGAGAAGATTTGAAGGCATGTATTCTGTGCCATTAATTCTAACAATCCTATTATTATTTGTTTGATTTCTTATCAATTAGGTCCACTATTAGGATTGTAGAAAAGATATTTAGTCTTAATGCATTCATCACGGCGTTTTCCATTGGCATGTATCACCCTGATTTGGCTTCTCTATCTCGCTGGTCCTTTATAACAAACCAGAAGTTTTATCATAAGAGATATATGAATTCACAAGTGTGGTCATTTCTGCTTTATCTTGTTCTGACTTCTGGCATAGATATTGAAATAAGAAGTCCAGCATATTTTTTGGGTAAAAAATAAGTCGAGCATTTTTATTAGTGGCTGAGTATATCTATATCATGTTTGCTTAGTCTCTGTCAATTGAAGGCTCAATTTTGTACTTTTGACATTTTCTGTTTTTTAAATTCTATTTATGTGGTTTTGCAGCTCTCAGAGTGGTTGGAGTCAACTAAGCGGCTAGATTTTGTTGAAAGAGATTATGCTTCTCGTCTTGATTTGATTGCCAAGGCACGTGGTCTTCAAAAGGCAGAAAACTATATTGAGAAGATCCCAGAATCCTTCAGAGGGGAACTAATGTACCGAACTCTGTTGGCTAATTGTGTTGTTGCCAATAATGTGAAGAAAGCAGAGGAAATTTTCAACAAAATGAAGGACCTAGAATTCCCAGTTACATCCTTTTCTTGCAACCAGTTGCTCCTCCTATATAAGAGGTTTGATAAGAAGAAAATAGCCGATGTACTGTTATTGATGGAGAAAGAAGATGTGAAGCCCACGCTCTTCACTTACAAAATATTGATAGATACCAAAGGCCTGTCTAATGACATAACTGGGATGGAGGAAATTGTTGAGACCATGAAGTCTGAAGGATTAGAACCGGACATCAACATACAGTCGATCTTGGCTAGGCATTATATCTCTGGTGGGCTGAAAGTAAAAGCTGAGGCTCTTTTGAAAGAGATGGAAGGAGGCAGCTTAAAAGAGAATCGCTTGGCTTGCCGATCTTTACTTCCTCTTTATGCAGCCCTCGGAAAGGCTGATGAAGTGGGAAGAGTTTGGAAGTTTTGCGAGTCTAATCTCCGGCCTGATGAGTGCATGGCTGCCATTGAAGCTTGGGGGAAATTAAAGAAAATTGAAGAAGCAGAAGCAGTCTTTGACAAGATGTCAAAAACGTGGAAGAAACTATCCTCGAGGCAATATTCTGCACTCATGAAAGTCTATGCAAATAATAAGATGTTGGTCAAGGGGAAGGATCTTGTAAAGCAGATGGCAGATAATGGATGCCGAATTGGGCCATTGACTTGGGATGCGCTTGTGAAGCTTTATGTGGAAGCAGGAGAGGTGGAAAAGGCAGACTCCATTTTGCAGAAGGCTGCTCAGCAGAACCAGAAGAATCCATTGTTTAGTTCTTATATGGCTGTTATGGACCATTATGCAAAGAGGGGTGATATACATAATTCTGAGAAAATGCTTCACAGGATGAAACAGTCTGGGTATGTCGGTCGTCCTCGGCAGTACCTAGTCTTGATCCAGGCTTATATAAATGCCAAAGCTCCAGCCTATGGCATTAGAGAGAGGATGAAGGCGGATAATGTATATGCTAATAGAACATTTACAGGACTATTGTCGCAGGTTGATGGTTTTAGGAAGAACTCAGTTTCAGAATTGCTTGATTAAGGATTATGGTCATTCATTCCTTCCCCTTGGGATGAATTTGGGGTCAGGTCTTCCAATGCTCACCAGCCAAGGATCCATTGCTATATTTTTATTTATATACAGTTAGTATCAGTTGAATTGTAGTAGGTTGAATATCTACTGTGGTTCTTGTTATGCTGTTTCTGTTGCTGCTGAACACTCAACTTACATTTCCATCGGAATTTTTACTATGTATTTTTGTTTTGCTATTTTAGGTGTTTTAATTTATTATTATGTTGTTCCAGTTTTGCTTGGTTGGAACATGGTTTGCTCCTCTCTTGTAGATGAGAGAGCGAGCCATATCAGTACGTTCTGGGCTTTTTTTCGGGGAGCGAAAAGCTGACCCAAAGCTACCTACGGGTACCAAGGCCAACGAAAGAGTTTGGTGGTGGTTTTTTTTCATATCTTTTTGTTGACAAAGAATTGAAGTTTGGTGTTTTTGGTTAATTGCATAAAAAGAAAAGAATGTTTTTGGTCACTTTATAAAAGTCGGCATTCATTTCTCAACTCATCTTTTTATTAATATATTATATTGTATTATATTATATAGAGCTTTTAAGAGTTTAAAATTTTGCATTTCTATGTTTGGACACAGTTTGTGGTATGTTTTTCTACTCAATCAATAGTTCAATACAACTCACTACTATTCTGTGTGTCCTGAGTTCCTAACAAGCATAATAATACCGGCCACCAACCACAACATTCATTATACACCTTGAATATAAAAACACCTCAATAACCTTTATACTACTAAATGCGAATGTATTAAAATAAAAACTCAAAAGTAGGTGTTACAATACATACATACATACATACATACATACAACTTTCATAACATTCATGTCTTCTCTATAAACCTCATTCCAAACATTCACCTAAATCAGTACACGTCAGATCTCTGCGCAATTATTTATAACCTACTATGGACACCTATGACCAAATTCCAAACTAATTGCAAATCTCTACAAATTACAATTGGTGTTGCAATTGAAAGGCTAATCCCTTTGTTTCACGTTTAATAAAACCATATTTCATCAGGATTTTTTTTTTTTTTTTAATTAGAAAAGAATTATATACTTTTCAAGACATGGAAAACATTTAAGAAAAAATAACCAAAAAGTCCCAAAATTTACTAAAACTGTTTCTTTCTTTGTTTCTTCGGAACTGCCTACAACGATTAGGAGCATATAAATTCAAGAGGACTCTTGTCAAGCAGTTCAAGTAACAGGGAAAACACTCAAAGAAGATTGGAATAATGATGAACCACCTTTTGCACCTCTGGATTTTCCAACCTTAATTGTCTTTCGAGCATATAAACAAATGGCAGTAGAATAAGATAACGGTAACAAGTGAAATTAAAGGCCTCTAACAAAAAGAAAAAAATATAAAAAAATGATACATATTTCCAACAATCAGTTACTTTCCACTAAGGACACCTTCAGAATTTGATCTCTCTAGTTTTATGAACACTCGAAACGCACTGTAAATTCTTGCATCATGCTCCTTCCAAGGGACCAAAAAGTGACACAGAAATTTAAAGGCTCTAAAAATAAAGTCGCATTAAAATTCACCCCCTCTCCACCCCAATTTTTAGTTTTGAAAAATACATAAATAAATGAACAAATATAACCAACCAGTGTATTGGATGAGGTCCAACATCAAATTGGTTGTACCAAAAAGCACCTCACCAAAAGTCTATTACTTTATAACACACTTGAATAATACACCTCCTTAGCTCTTAAGAAATACTAGAGATTTGCTTTTTAAAATGACAAAGGAGTCGTAGCATATAAGGTAGAGAGAAGAGAGTGGCATAATGTCTGAAATAAGTGTGAAAAGAGAAAATTAGCGATACATAGCTTCCTTCCATCCGGGTAAAAATCTTTTTTACATCATAATTTTGCATTTAGTTAGTAGTAATACCTAATTGATTGATTGATTTTTTAATTTTGTGTGTTTGGATCAGACATGGCCGATATGGACTGGTCTCAGCTTCCTTATGATCTGATTTCAACGATTGCGAACCGATTAAATGTGGTGGAAGATTTTCTTTCATTTTCAGGGGTTTGTCAGTCATGGCGATCTGTTTATTGGACCAAAAATTGGAGACAAAAATGTCTTCAATTTCCATGGCTCATGCTCTCATCATCATCACATGGAGGAAACAACAACAACGCCGCTGCAACTTTCTTTAGTTTCTTGAAGAAGAAGCGCCTTCAATTATCACTAGTGCCCCAAGCTAGGCGGTGGTGGGGGTCTGCTTGTGGATGGCTTGTCAGCATTGGTGGTGGTGGTGGTGGTGGTGGTGGTCACCAAATCCAAATCCATCTCTTGAATCCCATCACCCGACTCCATATCAATCTTCCATACGAATGTTCCATACACAAACTCTTCGTTTTCAACACCACCTCATTTCCAAGTGATCAAATGGGTGGTGGAGATGATGATGATGACATTGTTCCACTGGTTGTAGCAATTTGTGGGCCCAGGGGTTCTGATTTGGCCTTTGTTAGACCAGGAGATGATTCGTGGGTAATGGTGGCGGCAGCAGCAGCAGCTGCTTTCAAATTTCTAACTCTCTTTCAAACTCATATTTTCGCCATCTGTGAGGATGGATCACTTGTCATGGTTGAAATTGAGTCTGTTGCGCCAAGTGTGATACATATCGCTGCACCACCAAATTATTATTGTTGGGGTCGGGACGGCTTGTTGTACTTGGTGGAATCATTAGGAGACCTTTTGCTCATTTGCCGTTATGAGACTCGTTCTATTACTGATTTTTGTCCTCAAACTGTAAGTTTCCAAGTCTACAAGTTTGATTTCGGAGTTAAGGAGTGGATGGAATTGGATGACTTGGGTGATCGTGCATTATTTGTTGGTGATCACTTTTCAGTCTCACTCTCTGCATCTGATTTTCCCAATTGTAAAAGCAATAGCATCTATTTCACCCATGATCGTGACAGTCGGATGATGGTATTTGACGAACAACACCAACTCCCACTCCCGCCCCAACAACAGGAGGAGGGGAGATTGGATATGGGTATCTACAATATGACAGGTAGATCCATTGAGTCCTTCGACTTGGGTGATCATGATTTCCCACTTCATGATGCCACTCCTCCAATATGGTTCATGCCTACCGGCTCGTCTTAGTATATTATACTCGATGCCTCTCTACTGAATGAGAATTTTGGATGCTCTCCAAAATTCTCAACTCCTCTATTTATTGGATATACAACTACTTAAGAATAGAAGTTAATCGAGAGGAGTTTGTATAATTGACTTGTATTACTCAGACATTAGTAGTAATGTTGCAGTTTTAAATTTTGCGATTCATTGTTCCGACAAGTTTATCATGTGTCACTCGATCAATACATGTCATTTATCCACTGTCCTAACAGGCACCTAAAGGACAACACATCACACAGCCTTGAATATAAAAAACCTCAATAACCATGATAATTTGATAACTTATGTATTTAAATAAAAACTCCCAAGTGTTACATTACAACAAGAACACCATGGGAAGCCTTCATAACTAGCAGCAACTAAAACAGGAAGTCAAAATAAACCTTTTTTGCTTCTATACAAAGTAATAAACAATTTCCAATTCGATTGCCCTTTGTAAAGTGCATCGTACAAAAATTTTGCCCTTTCCACATTCAATGCTACCCTCATATATCCAGTTGCTCAATGTTGATCCGGCTCGCAGCATTCTGTATAAGCTCCTTGCGGACATCCACCTAAAGCAGTACAAGTTAGATCTTTGTGCATAGATATTGAAATTATTACAACTGTGGATAGTTATGACAAAAATCCAACTAATTTACAACTGGTGTTGCAATTGAAAGAGGGTTATCCCCTTTGTTTGGGGTCGAGTAAAAAATTATATTTCAGCAGTTTGTTGGTTTTTTATAGCAAGGAATCCTTGCTCAAAGGATTAAGCACCAAGGTAAATGGTCAAATGCGATCAGCCATCTCATCATGCTTGTGGGTTGCACAATAAGTTGACTGATCAACCCATTTCTATGTATCGACTTTTTAACAATTAAAAGACAAAAAAAAATGTAACTTCTTCAGAATATTTGACCCAAGCTAATATCCATGAACTGCATACCCGGGCACCCATAAGAGACGAGAAAACAACGTTTGCTTCTGCTGCATTCTCAACCACTAGCTGCTTTAGCACCCTTGTACCTGGATTTAATGTTGTTTCCCACAGCTGTGCAGGCATCATCTCTCCCAAGCCTATATTTGTTCATATAGAAAATATATATAAACCGAATCAACAAGAAATTTTTTGCATATATAAATATGTATACTTCCACGGTTATTTCTGTGTAAAAGCCACTAGAGGTAGCCCACACCAATGACAACATAATATGTTCCAAGGAATGAATTCAGTGTGGGTTTTTCCCACAAGAATCACATAAGCAAAAATTGAGGGTTTATAAGTCTTTTGGACTGCCTCCTCAAATGAGCCTTCTCTTGGATTGCATAGCATCCAGACAAGTCAGAATCACACTGTATACACTGCACTAAGATGTGTTCAAAATCATGAGAGAGAGAGAGAGTAATTCTGTATGTATTGTATCTTAACCTTAAGCCAAAAGGGGCTTATATAAAGGAAAAGAATTATAACCTAATTACACAATGTTACTTAATTACACAATAATCCTAACTACTATGGGTAATTACATAATGACCCAACATAAATATATATACACATAACATTCTAACACTCCCCCTCAAGCTAGAGAATATATATCAAATAATCCCAGCTTGGAATAGATAGTCTTTAATCGGTTATGACCAGTGCTTTGGTAAACATATTAGCTAGTTGATCTTCAGACTTTCCAAATGGAGTAGAGATGCTCCCACTTAAAAAATTTCTCGAATGAAGTGACAATCAACCTCAATATGTTTGGTTCTCTCACGAAACACAGGATTTAATGCAATGTGAATAGTTGCTTGATTATCACAGAACAATGAAGTAGGAGCTTCAACTGTCAACCCAAGTTCTCTTAGAAAATGTTGTATCCATGTCAACTCACTAGTGGTATAGGCCATTGTCCTGTACTTAGCTTCAGCACTAGATCGAGCTACCACCGTTTGCTTTTTACTTTTCCATGTAACAAGATTTCCTACAAATGTACAGTAGTCTGTAGTAGATCTCCTATCTGAAGGAGAACCAGCCTAGTCAGCATTTGTAAAACCTTCCACCCTGAGATGACCATTTGATTTGTATAGTAACCCAAAACCTGGAGCTTGCTTGAGATATCGGATAATCCGAAGAACAGCAATCTAATGTGGAATTCTAGGAGCTCCCATGAACTGACTTACAACACTGATTGCATATGAAATATTAGGTCGAGTGATAGTGAGATAAATTAATTTCCCAAGAAGGCGACGAAATCTGCCCGGGTCATTAAATAGATCACCCTTATCAGACACAAGTTTTGTATTTGAATCCATAGGAGCATCAACCGGACGACCACCTAACATACCCGTTTCTTCTAGCAAGTCCAACATATATTTTCGTTGAGATAAACTTATACCCTCCTTGGATCTAGCAACTTCAATACCCAAGAAGTACCTAAGTCTTTAGTGTGGAATCGATTTTGCAGAAACAACTTCAACTTAGCAATGCCTTCAGAATCATCACCTGTGATCACAATATCATCTACATACACCACAAGAAAAATGAAGCTAGCTTTAGTGCGCAGGTGAAATACCGAATAATCAGTCTGGCATCCGTTAAGACCAAATTCTAATGCCGCCTCAGAGAATTTTCCAAACCAAGCCCGTGGAGATTGTTTCAATCCATACAGGGCCTTTTTAAGGCGACAAACAGTGTGACGATACTCCCCCTGAGCAACAAACCCAGGTGGTTGCTCCATATAAGCTTCTTTAACCAGGTCACCATGTAAGAAGGCATTTTTGACATCCAACTGAAACAACAGCCAGTTACAATTGGCAGCAATGGAAATAAGAACCCGAAAAGAAGAAATCTTTGCAATAGGGGAAAAAACCTCATCATAATCAACACCATAAGTCTGAGTGTACCCCTTTGCCACTAGACGAGCCTTCAACCGCTCAATAGACCCATCGTGAAGGTATTTAACTGTGTAGACCCACTTACAACCAACTGTTTTGGAGCCCGGAGGTAAGGGAACAAGATCCCATGTTCGATTACGGTGAAGGGCATCCATTTCATCTACCATGGCTTGTCGCCAACCCGAATCAGAAAGAGCATCCTGCAAAGTCTTGGGAACAAAAGTAGCAGATACTTTGGATAAAAAACAAGATAAAGAGGATGAAATATGACGGTAGGAGACAAAGTTAGAAATGGGATGTGCAGTAACACACGACCGAATACCTTTACGGAGACCAATAGGCAAATCATCAGGTAAAGGCATCAGATCCGAAGACTTTGAAGGAGATGGAGGGAGCGAAGTAGGCGGTCGAGGTCATCGAGTATAAACCTGCAATGGGACAACGGAGTGAGGGGGTGAAGAAGCAGGAAACACAGATGGAACTGTTGGCATAGGTGGCTCAGAAGTAATATCAAGAGGAGTAGTAGAATCAGAAAAATATGGGAGAGACTCAAAAAATGAGACATCAGCACTAGTGAAACAGCGTTGAAAATGAGGACTGTAGCAACGATAGCCCTTCTGAGTGCGAGAATACCCAAGAAAAACACACTTAGTGGCACGAGGGTCGAGTTTATCAAGACCGGGTCTAAGGTTATGGACATAACACACACATCCAAAGACCCGCGGAGTAAGATTAAACGATGCGGAGTCGGAAAATAGAACAGAATGAGAAGATTTACCGTGCAACACTGACGAGGGCATCCGATTAATAAGATGACATGCCGTAAGAACAGCATCACTCCAAAACCGTTTGGGAACATGCATATGAAATAAAAGGGCACGACATACTTCCAGGAGATGACGATTTTTACGTTCAGCTACTCCGTTTTGTTGCAGAGTATAAGTACAAGATGATTAATGAATTATGCCTTTAGCATGAATATAAATCTCAAAAGGGTCCGAGAAATATTCTTTGGCATTGTCAGAACGTAAAACTTTAATGGAACACCCAAATTGAGTTTTTATTTCATTGGGAAATATTTGAAAAATAGAGAACAACTCGGAACGATTTTTCATTAAAAACAACCAAGTCATCCGAGAATGATCATCCACAAAAGTCACAAAATAATGAAATCCATTAATAGAAATATGTTTTATTGGTCCCTATACATCTGAATGAACTAATTGAAAAGGACTAGCAACACGATTACTAGCTCTCGGTTTGAAAGATACACGACAATGCTTACTAAGTTGACATGTTTCACAAGACATGGACTCAATACGACTAAGACCGGGGACTTGACGCTGCAAAACTGATAATGATGGGTGGCCGAGACGACAGTGCCACTGGAAAGAAGACAGATGATTGAAGAGCCGTGGGAGATAGTGCAAGATCGAAGTAATACAAGCCACTTACTTCATGTCCCTTCTTCGTCTTGAGATCCTAAAAAAGACAACATGTGTAATAAAATGTAACAGAGCAGTTAAGAGATTTAGTAAGTTTACTAATGGACAACAAATTAAAAGGGAATTGAGGAACATATAATACAGAGGAAAGGGACATAGAAGAGGTGAGATGAATAGTTCCCAAACCCAAAACTTTAGTTGATGATCCATTAGCAAGAGTAACACTTTGAGAGGAAGGAACAAACTGAAAATCAGATAAGAGATGAGAACTACCAATCATGTGATTGGATGCACCAGAGTCGAGAATCCATGGACTTTGACTAAAGGACAAAAGACATGCAGGGCCACTAGGGTAAAGGACACCATGGAAGATGAGGTGGAAGGCCGTTGTTGAGACAAAAACTGAACATACTCATCGCGGGGAATCGTGACCATAGCAGTCTCAATAGCCACGTGTGGAGCAGTGGGTGTGGCAGAGAAAGAAGAATCCCTGTCATTAGAAGTCATTTGATGTGCATAGGAAGAAGGTGGCGGTTTCCCATGAAGATCCCAACAGTAATTGACAGTGTGATTAGTAAGACTGCAGTGAGTGCAAAGTTTCGAGTCTCTGCCACAACCACGACCACGAGTAAAACGAACACCACCGCCACGAAAAGACTAAAAGCCACTTTGTTTCACAACTAAGGCAAAACGTTCACAACTAGGAGGAGTAGTGACACCACTCGAAGCACCCCCTGAAGCGCCACTAGATAAAGTAGCACGCTGGAGTCTGGATAACATATCAGGAAGAGAGGGAAGTGCAGGGCTACCCAAAATATGTGCTCGAATAGGTTCATACTCTTGTGACAATCCTATGAGAACCCAAATAACATTAAAATCCTCACGTTGTTGTTGCATGCTTTTCACATCAGAGGTGATGGGTTGATACAAGTTCATTTCTTCACAAAGTCCCATTGCCCGTGAGAGGTATTCTTCTAAACTGTGAGTCCCTTGCTGGAGGTCAAAGAATTGTCTGCACACCTCATAAATTATGGTTATATTACCAGTACCTGAATATAACTGTTGGAGTCGGGTCCATACCTCCTTGGCAGTGTCCAGATATAACAAGTTGGAGCTAACATGAGGTTCAATACAATTCAGCATTAAAGAGATGCTGAACATCCCTTTGTTCCTATGAACTGAAATCAGCATCACTGTTTTTAGGTTTATCCTTAACCAAATGAGTGCCAAAGCCTTTGGCTTTCAGGAAAATGGCTACTAACTTGGCCCATAAAATGTAATTTTTGCCATTAAGCTTGACTGAAGTCATGGGAGGATTGAAGGAGGTAGAAAATAACAGGTTTGAACTGGCAGCCATGGAGAAGATAACAACAAAAAAAACGAACCTGAAAAAAAAATTGCAGAATCTGTATTCTGGCCGAATCTGGGCAGTTGGGCCGGATCTGAGCAACCGGGTCGGATTTGGGCTGGATCAAAACCAAGTCTCTGCTATCCCGGTTTTAGTAAACCAGGGTTGGAATAGCATAACCGCGTAGCCAAACACGATTGTTCTTCTTCACAACCACACCGACAGAAGTCGGCAAGCACACAGCGACGACGGCAACCCAATCACAAGCAGCGGCCGACTCAATAAGCAACGACACCACACTGAATCCAAACCTCTGCAACTTCCGACCAAAAGAAAAGACGAATCGATGAAGCCTCACCTCTGCAAATAACGACGGTGGATGTTGGCGAGCTCGCTGACAACCAAAACGGCAACAACACGAGCAGCCAAAAGGACTTCAGATCTGACAACGACGAATGAGGCTCTCAACCTACCGGCGACCAAAACTTCCGACAGAGACACCAACACCACACTCGCGATTCCGATTGCGATTCCAATCTCACACAAGAACAACACAATTGCCATTTCCCACACCCATGAATTCATATTTCTCTGATACCATGTTTGAATTCATGAGAGAGAGAGCGAGAGAGAGAGAGAGAGAGAGATTAATTCTGTATGTATTGTATCTTAACCTTAAGCCAAAAGAGGCTTATATAAAGGAAAAGAATTATAACCTAATTACACAATGTTACTTAATTACACTAATCCTAACTACTATGGGTAATTACATAATGACCCAACATAAATATATATATACATAACATTCCAACAAGATGAAACTGTACCAATAACTTAAAACTGAATAGTGGTTGATAAAAATTTATAAACATATGGCATCATATTTCCTAACAAAATATTCATTTGGGACCAGCTCTCCCAATACCACATAACAATACATTAACGATGCACATTTGCAATACACTAAAGTTCACACTCCTGACTCCACATGAATGACACCTGTGCCATTCCCTGTTTTTTTCCTTTGTTTTTTCAAGTATCATATAAAGAACCAAAAAAATTACATTAGTAATCTTACCTTTGAATCTCTGAATGTTGTATGATGCATTTGCAGGGAAGGAACTCTGAAGTTGCTTGAGTTCTGCATCGTCATAGCAGTAAAATTCTTGCTTTCCCCTCTCAACCTGACCATTTCAGCAAAAACAAATTGAATCATATAACAAACAAGTACAGGTGGTATTTGAACCCATCAGAGCTGAAGGCAGACCTTGAACAGAGGAGGAACACCAACATAAATGCAGCCTTCCTCAAATAAAGCTCTCTGCAAGCGAAAAACAACTGCATTAGCTACATTGTCTTCTAAATTTGTTGAACATAATAATATGCTTTATTTAATTTTCCATATCAATAAATTTTAACAGACAATCATCTCCATTATCCACCTGATATCTAAAGAAAAATGTCAATAGCAAGGTTCGAATGTGAGCACCATCTACATCAGCGTCTGTTAAGATTATGATCTTATGATAGCGGAGAGCCTCCTTTTTAAAATCCTCGCCCTGAAACCCAGATAAGATCAAGTCAGATATAAGCCAAGCAGTTGGCAAGAAAGAAAATAACATACAAGTAGATACCTTCACTCCAAGCCCAAGAGCACGAATAAGATTTTGAAGTTCTTCGTTTTTGTACATTGCTGCTTCGTCTTTCCTTTCAATGTTCAAAATTTTACCCCTTAAAGGAAGAATTGCCTGCATGAAGCCACCAATATGCCATGATTAAGAAAAAAAGAAGTATCAACAGGGAACCATGTACTGCATGAATTTTATCAATTCAAAGAACCAAACTTTATTCCCATAATGTCAAATCTGACTGAATATGCAAGCAATCCATGGCAACATATCACATATGCATAAACATAACATGCTCACATACAAAGATAGACATGAGAGAGAGAGAGAGAGAGAGGTGCTGACAGAGACAAAAAAAAAAAAAAAAAAAGGATTACAACAACCACATTGCGAAAGAGAGAGCAGTTTTCAGTCATTCTTCCAAATCAACATAGTGTAGTCCTCGAAATCAAGTAAGCAATGGATTATTTCATCGAGGACCAGACATGATGAATGATAAGCTTGCTGTGTTCTATGTCACCTTATCAGGAGAATTAGTTTATTTAAGAGAGATGAGGAGTTGGTGACTTATTTGTTCTTGCATTGGCCGGTAGCTAGGGACGAGGGCTTTATTTTTGCATTGCTTGGTGTTTCTTGGGTCATGCCATTTTAGCTTGGAGTGGATGTATAGTGGGGAGGCAACCTCGAGATGCTTGGAGGGATGTGATCTGCTTTGTGGATAGTTCGAGGTACAACTTTGGTAATCCTTCTCACGTAGTTAAATTAAACCAAAAAACAAGAATTTATAAGCAAAATATGCAACAAAAAGTGCGAGAAGTACATGGATCCTCCAGGAAGAAGGCCACATCAATTATATACCTAAATCAAAATTAATGACGACTATCTGAAAAAAAAGATATTTAAGCCTAATTAAATCCATTTCGAAAAAACTGTAAGCTTTGATTCATGATAATCCTTCTCACAGGATAGCAACACGACATCTCAAAAACAAACACAACAGACTCCCTAGAAAGTATATCAAGCACATGACACAAATTAGTTCTGCAAAGGGTGTCCTCTATTATTTGATTCAGGCGTAATTGTCATTTCGGGATGTATTTTATAGTCTAAGTTGGGGGGTTCAAGGGTAGTATTTTCCCACCTTAAATGAGGTTACTAGACTCAAATAACCGGACTTCAGTACACATATTTCCACTTATTTTTTGTTTTACTACTACCACTTTAAGGTGCAATTCAAGCACAATTCCTTATGTCCTTTTTAAAAAATTTTTTTATTTATTTCCCTGTAGCATTTTCTGCAACCACGAGGAAGTTGAGTATCTCTGTGACCAACAGTGCCTGAGCTAACTAGCCAGAATGTTTACTTAAACGTTTTTTATAAATAAATTTTTTTTTTTTCAATAAACAACAAAGACTAAAAAGAATAAAGCAAACCTTGCTAATAATTGTTATGAAGGAGCATAAACCCTTGTCTGCTAAATGAGAAATATCATCACTGGCTAGCTACCAAATGCCAAAAGTAAAACGATCACCTGAAACTGCCTATCACGGCCTTGTTTTGCACTTCCACCGGCTGAATCCCCTTCGACAATAAATATTTCTGCAGAACTTAAAAATAACTTACGTTAAAATTAGTTTCCAATAGATATTACAGCCGCTCCAAACACAATATACCTTTCTGCATATAAAAAAAAATTGCAGATCCCAATTTGTTGGGGGCCTTATCTACCACTGTACCATAATGACACTGGCAATTATGAAAATGATATTTTCTTCTTCCATTTTTTTTTTATCTTCCCACTCATTCCCTGTGGGCCCTTCTTCCCCCTATTCTTTCCATTCTACCAAGGAATTCGAAAATCTAGATCAGCTAATTGTTCTCGGATAGCACCTGCTCCAGTAGAGATCTCTCAATTTTGAAATGTATCAAAGCCTTGGGTAGTCAAAAAAGTGGGATGCTTTATTTCCAGGATTGGATTTCATATTCGAATGAACCTCGTAATCCTAAGAAAGTGGGATTTTTTAAGCTACGGGCCTAGCAAAAGAAAAAAGAACTGAAATGATCCAAATTTGTTCAAAAGCATGGTTATTTAAAAATGAGAATAGTTTTTTACTAGTTAAATCTCAAACTACTTAAGTTGCAGCCAAGCTTAGGTAATTCAACCAAATCTCACCAATTTTTACAAATAGTTTGTCTGAAATTTGATAAAAGCAACAGGGTCAACTTTTCCAAAATTTCAGGAGTCCCACTAAAATCCTCAAAAGTAAAGAAGAATACTTTAGTGGTATTCTATCAACAGTAAATAGCTTGTCTGCAGAATATATCAATCAATTTTTTTCTGGACAATGAGGACAAGGTGTAGCTTAAACAGCAACAAATAATATTCTCGCAATCCAAGAAGTATGAAGTAGAAAAGAATTATATGCTATCAAGGACAAGCAAGGTTTGCAGTCACGGTATCAGTTGTGGTCGTGGTCGCGGTGTAACACAATCGGGCCTATATCGGTGTTACGTAACGGAATCGGTTATCACAGGCGTGATATATTTTTTTTCAAACTTGCACATATTGACCAAAATGCACCGATACGCTACTTTGTACAACATATAAAGATGAATTTTTTGTGAATTTTATTGAATTTCTTAAGATCTTTTAGCAAAAGCAATGACTTCAAGTTGCTGCCATTATTAAAAATGCTTATATTATACTTTTATGAAAATAACAAATTAAAATAAAATTAATGTCAAAATTTGAGGACAGTACAACAAACTAAAGCTTTGAGAACAACACAAAATAATGTCAAAATAACTCATTGAAGACATAATATATTTGTTAAAGGTTGGGAAATTATTTTGAAGAGTTTATAACCAAAAGATATTTGTGGTCCTCAATATATAAGTGTAAACCTCGAGCTTTGTTTCACAATTGAGTTTAATGGTTGCTGGATAAATCATATATGAATATACCATGAACTGCTCAACCTATTGTACACTCATTATTATATGATTTTGATATTAAATATGATGACAACTCCAATTCAACCATCTTCTTTAGTGAGTTTGTAGTTTGTACCATTTGATCGTATGTGCTATCAGATGGTATGGATCAGTTTTAGATACTCCAGTCTTCAAGTTGGAGACCAACATGAATGAGGGTATATGCTCTTCATGGTCTCATATAAGCTGAGCTTAGTATATTTAAAAACTGAGCTTGATATATACCCTTGCTATCATCCAAAATCAAGGTCCTGGGCAAGTATGGAGTCTCCAACATTAATGCGGTTTTAAAGTGCACACACTCAGAGACACAGTAGGCTTTCTTTCTGTTCCACATCGGATAATGTTAGAAGAACTAGTGACTAAGGAGTATTATAAAAGGAACAGAGGCACTCTTGAGCTTTATTTGGAGAGACCGGGCCAATGCCTGGTAAAATGGGCCAACTATTTGATTCAATCAAGTTTGCAATCATAAAACACCCACTACTTTCAAATTTTGATCATAAAACCAAAACCTGTTTCAGAAAACCCTTGCACTTTTAACAAGTGATCACTGCCCCAATATCTGTATCCGACCCGTTAACCAGGCTATGAAATGACAAAATTAACCTTACAACTTAATGTCAAATTAAAAATTACAAAAATACCCTTTAAAATTATAAAAATTATGTTTGAGAGAGAGAGGAGTGAGAGTTTTAAAGAAAGAGAGGGTGAAGAAGAAGATTAAAGAGTATTTTTATAATTAAAAATAATAATTTTTAATTTAACATTAAATAGTAAGGTTAAATTTGTCATTTCACAGCCCAGTTAACTGGTCGAACATGGATATTGGGGAAGTGTGATAACTTTTTAAAAGTATAGGGGTTTTCTGAAATAGGTTGGGGTTTTATGATCATAATTTGATAGTGAGGGTTTTATGAATTTAACCCTAACTTTAATTAATATTTGGTCCGGTTTGTAAAAAACGGCCGATTTTTAGAACTTGGTCCAGTTCTTATGTGAATCCATACGCACACCGGTAAACCGGTGATAACTTTTTAAAAGTATAGGGGTTTCTAAAATAGGTTGGGGTTTTATGATCAAAATTTGATAGTGAGGGTTTTATGAATTTAACCCTAACTTTAATTAATATTTGGTCCGGTTTGGTCTTGGACCGGTTTGGAAAAAACGGCCGATTTTTAGAACTTGGTCCAGTTCTTATGTGAATCCATACGCACATTGGTAAACTAGTGTCAGTGTGCAACGCAATCAGAGGTCCTTAAATAACTCATAGGTACACTTTTCTAGACATGGAAAACATTTCAGGAAAAATAACCAAAAAGTCGCAAATTTTTCTAAAACTATTATTGCAAACTGGATTGAATCAAATATGTCTCAAATAGTGACACTATTATTGCAGAAGGATCCTCATATGAATTCTCACAATTGTTGTCCACTAATTGAAACTTCTCCATGAGAATAACACCGACTTTTACAAAAGGAGAAATAAAACATACCAGATTCTTCCGGATTTGAGGATGAGCAATCGGCGAGCTTGCCGGGAAGCGATGATGATCTCAGGACACTTTTTTGTCTAACCAATTCCCTTGCCCTCTTTGCTGCTAGAGCAGCCTAAATAAAAAAACAATAAGTACATTGTCAAACCAAAAAAGGTGGCAACAGATTCAGAGTCATAAAGAGAACAACTTAAATCACTGAAACAATTGAACTTTGAAGTGAGAAACATGTAGTGGGCAATGAAAATGGTACCTTAAGAGCGTTAAGGGACTTGGAAAGGATTGAATCAAGTACATCTGGATGAAGTTCCAAGTAATCAGTAAGATACTCTTGAACAGCTTGATCAACCACTTTTCGCACCTCAGGATTTCCCAACCTTGTCTTTGAAGGATATAAAGAGAAGGCAGTAGAATAAGATAATTGCAACAAGGAAGAGGAGGAAGGGGGTGGGGAAAGAGGGAGTTGGCATCTAACAAAAGAAGAAAAAAAATTAAAAGAAGCAAAAACAGAATGTACCTTAGTTTGTCCTTCAAACTCGGGATTTGGAACTTTGACTGAGATTATGCAAGTTAATCCCTCCCTTACATGCTCACCACTTAAACTAATATCCTTCTCCTAGAATGAGAAAAACAAACTATCAGCAGTGAACATCATTAATATTTATATAACAATTAATTTTTATAAACATCAATGTCCGCCTAGAGTCATATAAAATAGACTCAGTTTCCTATTTTTTTTTAACCTATGTTGCATCCTGCTTTGTAAGGCAAACTTTTTTATTTTTGTTTAACTTCCTTGCTACACCAGAAAGAGACAGATTTATTATAGAGGAAAACGTTGGAATTCTGTTCTCTAATAAATATAAATAAAAATAGAAAACTAAAGTTGGAACTTTCTATTGTTCATCATTGAAAAATTGTACAACAATTTAAGTTATCAAAATAAAGAACAACAGTATATCACACACGCGTCTCCAAACAAACACAAAAAAAGAGATGCAAAATTTATCTAGTGCATCACTGGTTTATAGGCAATATTCAAACCTCATCCAAGAAGGAGAAAGCATACACAAGCATAAACACTTGCAAACCTTTCGTAATAGACTAATAAAAAATGTACATTATGTCTAAGCCAAAACACTAAACCCTAAAATATTTATAGAAAGTTAGGAGTTCAATAGAATTAATTTTATAAGATAATTTGTACTCTTTGTGCGTTGTATAAAACCTATTAATAGGCCTCTTGAGTTGTTTACTTTAAAGATGGAATTATATGAATAAATTTTGAAATCTCTCTCTCTCTCTCTCCATACTCTTTCTTCTCTAGTCCATCTCTATCTCTTATCTTATCTTCATGAGGCTTGGAACTCCGAGTTTACATACAATCTGTTTCATGTCCATCATCTTATCCTCATTCCTCTTCTTTTGTGAATGCAAGGCTTAAAAATACATTGAATCTTCTCAACATCACTGTATCAGGCCTGGCATTTAATCAGACAGATTGCTGCCCCTTCCTTTGACATTCATTTTGATTAAAATTTGAAACATTCAGACCTATTTAACATGTCCGAATCAAGCCAGGAAGGTGTCCAAAAAGAGTTTGTACAAATCATTCTTGTTAACAACCTAGGTTTCAACCCAAGTGCATTTGGATAATTTTAATGATAATAACATATTAATGTGAGAATTTGACAATCTACTTGAGTATGCTCATTTACAGATCATACACATTGCTCAAGTATTCAAAGCTCATGTGAACCCATGGAATGAGATGATGCTGACATGAAGGTCAAGAACATGGGTATTTTAGGTTGTTGAGTGTTAGGCTTGAAATGCAAAGTTATGCATGATGCATGTGTTGAAAGCTCAAGTCTAGGATTCTTACAGAAAAAAGTCCGAGGACCATTTGAATTAATTTTAGTTTAGGTTGGTGAGTGTTAGGCTTGAAAATGCAAAGTTATGCATGATGCATGTGTTGAAAGCTTAAGTCTACGACTCTTAAAAACAGACCTAGGACCAATTGAATTAATTTCATAATTCATATCACATCATTGTCCCTAGTACAATTGACTTGACCCTTGGACTTAGAAGATTTAAAATATAAGGGTAACAAAATGGTCAGTAAACCTGACCACTTTACTGCAGGTGACTGACAGTGGCCCAGCAGTACCAAGCCCCTACTTCTTAAAGAGAGGTCAGGGATTCAAGCTTTAGTGGAGGCATGAGTGTGGTATGTGAGTACCAACTAAGGAAAAAAAAAATAATGGTTAGTAAACCTGGCAAAAGTCACTTTGACTAAGACGTCTTAAGACACAAGTGACTAAGACGCCTACATGATGAGTAGACAAGTCGTCTTTACGGACTATGGAGTGTACTGAAATTCATAAGTTCCAGATGTCTACAATGAGCTTAAAGATGTCTATACCTTCATGCTTGGGACCCCCACCCAGTCAAGCAGGATGGAATGCCTACGCTAAGGAATTTCAAGCACGAGATATTGATATTCTTTTTATTTCAGTGAGCGCCCTTGAAACTGCAAGTGAGGAGTTCTCATAAAAAGTCATCTTCAGACATCTACTTGCCTTGTACAGACTATGTGCCTGCTATTTCAGCTTTTTCTGAAAATTGCCTTACAGACGTTTATGTCATGCAGACAGACATATAGGCCTTTATCTCGACTGAGAGGACAATTTCGAGCTTTTTTCTGAATATTGCCTTACAGACATCTTGCTGTGCACCGACTTTCGCTTGTACGCGAAACCAAACATATGGTCACTTAATCCATTCATTGCAATTTCTAATTAGGGTAAATTTTGAATATTCTTGCTGAGCCTTTAAAACCTTCATACTCTAGGGTTGAACTTTGAGCTTTCATCATTTGCAATATCCATTACTCTAGAGAGAGAGCTTTGATTTGAAATATACGTTTATAGAGGGATATTTTATACTCAAAATCTTATCTATAGACTGTATTGAGGCTGTTGGAAAAGTGTTGGTGCAACCCTCAAAGTCTAGGGGAGGTGTTCACTTAGCAAAGAGAGACAAACTCAAGGAGCTTTGCAAAGGTTACCTTCCACCTGTGAAGGAAAGTTGTTAAGGTTTTCTCTCCAGCTGTGAAGGAGAGTGAGATAGTGGATTTTGGGAATTCTCAAGAGGTGTTCTTGGGATGTAGACGTAGGCGGGGGGCTGAACCATGTAAAGATTTGGTGTTCTTGTGTTTTCATTTCTACATCCCTATCTCTTTACATTTAAGTATTACATTTATATTAGCATTTCGATTTGCTAAATCTTTTTGCACACCAAGTGTTTGACTAAAGTAAAAAATCTACTATAGTTTGCCAAAAAGACCCAATTCACCCCCCACTTGGGTTATTGTTTGAGCAACAATTCTAGTAAATGCAAAACCAGCAACAAACTGCCAAATCACGGCATTACTTCTGTATGAATTATACATGTAAATGCAGGGACAGAAATAACTATGTATACACATATAAATGCTACATATTAATCTAGTCTTTTTCAACTTACTTTTCATTCTTCAGTATAATTAGACACTAAAATAATGTACTTCCATTGCCATGGTCTAATAGTTACATGGAATTGGATACGTGTGTTGATAGCAGGTACATGCCTATGCATTGGACATGTAAAATCTCAATGCACAAAGACATATGGACATACGTGTGTTCAATATAGGTATTTCACTCGTTCTGAAGCAATAATACAATAAAATTGAATATAGATGCATGTTCAACCAAAAATAAATATTAACACGTATCCTACACCCATGTCTAAGTATTGTGTGTCGGACATAGGTACTTCACCTACTATTGAAGCATTTCATGCGCAAAATCAAATATTATTTTCACAATTGTTGATCACCTCCGAGAGAGAGAGAGAGAGAGAGACGTCAACCAAAGGAAAAAAAAAAATTTGAAGTAGATGTTTCTAAAGCTAAAAGAGCAGGTCCACACTAACGCACCTTTATGATCTTTGACTTCTTCGCTAGGTTGTTAAGAGTTTTCGTTAATGAAGCCTTCATACCATCTATGTGAGTACCGCCATCAATTGTCCGTATGCTATTAACATATCCCAGAATTGTATCTGAATATGCATCAGAACACCTATTACAAAGATTGAAGATAACCAAATTAAACCGTTTGGACAGCAGGATAAATGGCAGTTAACAGTGACCAAAATATTAGTATCTCAATTCTCACATTAACTTTGTGAGCATAAAATTGAATAATCTGAGGAGGCGTCTGATTTTCAACAATTGGTGTTGCATGTGCAAGGTGGAGATGAGTCCGGGAGTCATCTCCCCCTACATTGCCCAGTAGCCAGGGACAGCTGGGCTATGATCTTTTCTTTATACCACATTCAGTGGATTATGCAATAGTCCCCGTTTGGACGGGTCGTATAGTTCAGAGGCAAGCTCATGATGCTTGGAGGGTGGCACCTCTTTGTTTATGGTGGAATATGGCGGGAATGGAACAAGCGGTCTTTTGTAGGGAGGCGGTTCTCATTTGGATGCTGAAATTCTCTATCCTTTGTTCTTTATTCTTTTATGTTCAGGGATCTAATTGTAAATCTGTGGGGGATATAGTAGATTTTGCGGATATGTTGCCAATGCAGCGGGCTTCTCGCCCTTGTGTAGTTCTTTGGGATGCGCTCCCCTTTTGAACGACTTTTATGAAATTATTACTTGTAAAAAAAATTTAAAAAAAAAAAAATTGGAATATGGCATAACTACACAATGACTGTACTGATTTTTAAGTGCTGCATGAAATTCCAATTTATGCAAATGCATCAAGCAGCATGAAGAGAACATATATATAAGCTGACCAAATCTAGTGAAATTCATTTTTCTAGTTAGGATGTGTATAAAAAATAAGAAAGTCAAAGAAGGCACTGCAAACATAGAAGACAAGAAATAAATAATTGCAGAAAGAGACAAGAATAGAAGGGATAAATATTTTACCATTGAAGAGCTACATCAATCGTGATCCCATCTGCTGATTTTTTAAAACCCACAATGTCATGAAGTGGTTTCTGAATCAGAGAACTGTCAGTCACTATACAGTAAAATGCAATGCAAATGCCAAAACAAGAAAACCAGAATCCCACAAACATCAGTTAAATAAAAATGATGAAAATCCTTGTAGCACTATATCATATCCAATTTCCATCGCCTTATGAAGTAATACAAGTATAGGTGCAGCTTCAGAATGACAGTTGAGGTGCTAACTTAAACTTTGAAAGCTATTTGAGCCTATTTCTCAGGGGATTTTCAAAATTTCATATTTTACTAGATTCATAATCAGAGACACGTCTAGGGTTCCTTTCTGGGAGAATCTCACACGACCCTATTTTTAATTTCATGGTTTATGATCATCTTTTCATCCTTCGACTTAGAACTTCCATTTCTCCCAAAATTTAAATTCAGAGTAAATTGATAAGCATTCTTCTCATCTTTCCTTCTTAATGTTGGTATCAGGAGTCTAGTGGCCCCATCTCTTCTAAATCTTAATTTTTCTACCTTCTCAAGAAGTCAATCTTTCCCATTGTCCTTCAGCAAACTTATTGGAGTGTTAATATACTTCTTATAGTCAAAGCTCTAATTTAGTATGCGACTCCCAAGACAGTTAACAAAAGAGATGTACAACAATGTAGAACCAAATAAAACTCCCTGCAGTTCAAGTCTTCCCCAATTACTGGACAATTCCTCCTCTCCAAAGTGAAGTTTAACTTTGATGGTTGTTTCTTTGATTAACCGGGCAATAAGTCAATCAGGTTATCACAAAGGATAATACTTAAAATACCAAATCATTTTCTTTAGACTAGAAGCAAGATGCTATTTGGCACAGGCAGATAAAAGCCCTTTCAGAAGGTCATAGAAAAGCATCTAACATGTACTTGTGGCATTACCTGATCCAGAGCATTTTGGCTTTAATAGAGGGATGAATTGGATCTCAACCTCTTGGTCATTGGTGCTATGGTTTTGAGGAAGACTTTGACTTTGTCATATTCTTTTGAAAAGGAGATTAAATTGATCCCTCAGTTAAGTGCAAAAAAGGCATCAATATTAAGCCCTATAATTTATAGAAAAAAGAAGAAGAAGCAACCGGTAATTTGAAGCATATTGTGTTCTAAATTCAATCTTTTACAATCTCATACATCAATCCAGATATTAAAAAACTCTAAGCATCGCCATAACCAATAAGCATAGCATCTTTTCCATTCAAGATTAGCATTCATAATCTTGTTTTGAAATTGGTACTCCCATCACACTAACCATTAATTCTGTCTAAATATACCTTGATTACTATATGTGGATGATAAAACCTCTATATTTTGAAGTTGTAATACTGTATTAACATTACAGATATAAAGCAACCTGATACATACATCATCTTTGGATCCTAGAAGGTTGGATGTGCTGAAAGATAGAAAAAGATTAACAAAAGACTGCATTTCAAGCATAGCAAGCGATAAGGACGATAAACAAGCATACCTTATCAGTATTTAGCCATCTCACGTACTCTACTAATCCCCCAGCATAGAAGAATTCATTATACTGTTTCTTCGCTGGTTCAGCATCATCTTTTTCTAGAGCAACAGTCAGCTGCAACAGTTCAGACAAAAAATAGTAAAAATAAAGTCAGAGCTATTGTAACAAAGTGAAAACACTACTGTGATGCATGTAAAAAAGGGGGATTACATAAGGGGATCAAATCTTATCTTCTATAAATATATAAATAAATCAATAAACAAAAAAAGAGGGAGGGAAAGAACAGTAAAATATAAAGAAACAAAAAGTGCACAGTTGGCAACACATGAAAAAACTAAATGCAGAAATTAACATAATGGACGGAGGTTTCATTCCAACGGGGTAAGGTAGATAAGATATCTACATGCATATATAAAGGGGGACAATATATATAAATGACATTAATTAGATTAGGGAGACTTTTGTCATTTCCTTTAAGAAAAAGACAGAGAATAATGCATTTGTTGAAAAGTGGAATGTGGATATCACCTCCCTAAATAAATATAAATACATTCTTTGATAAGCGCCAGGGAAGGTACATTACAAGAGGTAATCAACGGCACATATAAAGCTAATCTGGAAATGTGTAGATATAGCCTCTCTAAGAAACTGAACATGTTTACAATTTAATGAAAAGACAATTTTCATACAAAAAACCATTTGTGAGTTAGCCATCATGCTCCCACTCTCCTACCCCAGGCTAAGAAATCGAAACCAAAAGCCATTCATCAGATTTGCTGTAGCAAAAGGAAAATAAACTATCTTCCTACATTTATCATTGTCCAACCATAGAATAACCCATTGTGAAATTTACTACCAATTTAACCAACACATCATTTGATTAATTGGTACACATGGACATCCTGAGTCCCTTCTATTGGAGGTTGAAACAATTGTACTCTAGAGCAAATTGTGTATGATTTGTGGTCACCAAATGAATAAAAACAACATATCCAATTAAGAGGAGGCTGCAAATGAAGAAGAAACAAAAACTAGTATCTTGGTAAATATCCAGCCAAATCCCAGCTTATTCAAGACACATAATAATGCAAAACGGAAATGAAAGGTTCCAAAAGCCTGTAATAACCAATACTAAAAGGGTTCACAAATGTGAAATAACTATAAAATGATGCTAATGACATTACCTCAGGATTAAGGAAAGCAAGCTCCCTAATTCGTCCAGCTATAGTATTGTGATCGAACTGAAAATCAGTAGTAAAAACTGCATAAGAAGTTCATAATCAGACAAAGGATTTGAATTGTGAAGATCCCCAAGTTCAATTATCACTCACATACCAAGATTGAGTCATGAACCAGGAGGTCCAGGATAGTCATAACAAACATCTGCTTTAAATAGTTGGGACTAACCTTCTTTATCAGGCCAAAACTTAATGCGTGTCCCTTGACGATCTTTTGACTCAGCCGGTAGCTCATTACACATTAAAATTGTCACAGGTTTCCCACGGGAATATTTCTGCCAGTATTCTTTTCCATCACGCCAAACGGTAACTTCTAATGCCTGTGAACCAATACAATGACAGAAATTAATGACTTAATCTGGCCATATGGAGACTACAGGCGCCTACAAAACTTAATGTGAAGATACAATAGATAAATAAGGCATATAAGAGCCAAAAGCAATATCATCATTTTGCCAGAAGACAAAATAATATAATATGATATACTGCATAGATGACAAGTCGAGACACAACTAGTGTCTATGATTACGGGTCATAACCAGCCCAGACCATGCCCAAAGTTGTTATGTCCTGATCGAGAGAGCAAGGGCATAACCTGGCAGCATACAAGAAATTAGAGGATTATTGTGCCAACCTAACATATAAATTACTCAGCCGGAGCAACAAGCATGTACTTGGTCTGAAACATGTGAGAAACATAAACAAGGGGCCAACAGAGTTGATTCAAAGCATTCACTTAGTTCAAAAGATGCAAGGAATCTCCTGTAAACAGGCATATCTTACAAAAACAGTATATAACACCATTGCTCTCTTTCTTGAAAAACCAAAGTCTATTGCCATAGAAGAACTATGGCTCCATTTGAAAGAATGAAGATCTTTAAAATGAATGGATTTGGGTTCCAACAAAAGAGTGTTTACTTTGAAGTTGGATCCCAAAACCCAAAAGGATATTAGGCTAGTCGCAAGAGGGACATTTTATTACAATCATTGTGCAGTTAAAATCCTTGCCGGCATTAGTTTCAAATTACTCCTTCCATCTGGTTATTTGAAATCCATATATATAAGCCTATAAATGTTTGTTAAAACTTAAACCCTAATTACTTACTCAAAATTCATCTATAAGCCTTAAATTATTAATCATATACATTCATTTCAAATCCTTCAATCCAAAGGAGCCTAAGTGGGCACAAAAAAATTATCTTTATCTTTTTGGACAATGGAGCCTAAAGAATGTTTAAAAGTTCCAAATATAGCTCCTATCTCTATTATTTTTCTCATTTTATGCACTTGGTGATATATGAAATCCTCTAATTGATTTATAAATATTCTTATTTATATCTACTTTCCAAAATTCTAATGTAAAAAAAAGATTACACTATATTTTATTCTCCTTCATATTTCTACTTTGGATTCTGCATATAAAATATTTTGGGTCTGCCCATGGCTTCTGCCATTGGTTTCCTGGGAACTACTTCGAGTAGGGTTTGATTAAACCATATTCACCCAATAAACTTTTAATCTGGAAAAATCACATTTTACAAAACCGGAAATTATTTCAGTTTATAGCATTGTTGCACACTATTTAAAATAAAACAGACCTTTAATCACCCAAATTAATCCCCAAAACCCAACCATTCTGTAATAGATCCCAAACCCAAATTGCCAAATTCTAGAGCAACTCCATTAATTTGTCCTTTCTACCCAAAAGTTCAACAGAGCTTTTCTCTTTTCCATCACCAAAATAAGCCTCAAAGCTCAGCAAATCTAACCCATAAGCAATCCCTAAATCTCGATCTTTCCTAAAAATTAGAAACCAAGCATTAGCCCACCATTATCTGCTTGTAGGCAGGCAGCATTGATCTCCATTCTTAAAGCTCCGTCCCACATCACATTTATTTGTCAATCATTTCAACCCACTCTCTGTACATCATATACCGCTGCCTTAGCTCACTGGACAATTCCTTCCCACTCAACCATCCCAGCATCATGGTACTGATGGACAGAATCTGTATACGACCAGGGACGAAATACTAATTCATATAACAAAAAGATTAAGAGCGGCCCAATTTACAAAAACCACTGAAGGAATTAGATTTTTTTTTTTTTTTTTTTTTTTTTTTTTCTTCCTTACTTATGAAAAAAAAAAAAAAAATCCATGCAAAACTCTAACCAGCATGTTCATTAAGTTAGGTATTCCTAACCTTTCAGCATTATTTCAAAAATATAATACACGTATCCTTTTGAACTTTTTTTTTTTTTTTTTGGGGTAATTCTAACTGAATGCATCTATTATAAATCAGTTCAAATTTTGGGATATTAAAACCGAAGCACAGTCAACATGAACTAAAGGGTTCTCAAACCACATGGAAAATAATAAAAAGAAACCACTAAAAGATATGTGCCTCGAACAGATTAAATTGACAGCCAAAAAAATAAGAGAAGGAAACACCTCAGACAACGCATTAACAACAGATAAGCCCACGCCATGTAGTCCACCTGAGACACTGTAGCCACTACTTGAACCACCAAATTTGCCACCTGCATGTAAAACCTGCAGAATTTGATTTGATATGTTATTTGCACCACATTCAAAATTTCAAACATTATTTCAATTGACTGGTCAATAATCATTATAAAAAAAAATACACAAACTACAATATATTAATACATGCACTTATACATACAGAAATATTCTCAGTTCAACTCTACTTAAAAAATATATAAAAACTATTTGGGCACATAGAACAAAATTCAAGGTGAAAATTCTGGGCCTCCCACAGAATCTCAATAGTGCACGTTATACACAAATTTAAAACAAAAATATGTAAAAGTGCAATAATACCGTCAACACAGTCTCCAAAGAGGATTTTCTTGTCACTGGATGCAAGTCGGTTGGAATCTGCACAACGAAACAGGGAAGCAAGTGAAAATAGTTGATGTAAGCACAATTTAAGCTGGCATAAATGACATATCTTTAAGCATATTCCCCAACATAACAAGAGCCACTCCATTGTTGCATTTTTAATCAGTAAGTCAGTAACTACATAACATTTTTAGTAACATTATTAAGATGATGTACTATGTACTTATATCAGATACTTCATATATATATATATATATATATATATATATATATAAGTACTTATATACACTAGTCTCCTGTATTTAATCGTTAAGAGTCAAATCTACTTTTATCACAAGGGTATTAAGCTTTTGTCAAGAATAAGCACAAATATCACTACAAATAAAAGCATTTCTTAACAAGATGTTTCGATCTCTAGAAATTAGTTTGAGTATCATTTTCAATTGTTATATGCCCAAATTGCAGAAAAATGGTGCATATGGTTAAAGGACTAACAAGAGAACATTTGAACTAGGTATATAAAGTGATGTCAAGCAATAAAAAGCAAGCACTGAGTTATTTCAGAATGTATAAATATCATGCATCCATGTCAAGGGATATTGATACACCTGTGAAGAAATCATGATGGTTGATTGTATTTAACAGGTGTCTTTGCTAAAGGGAAGTTCCATATGGCAGAAGTAGTATAAATATGTTTCGTACCCCGCGTCCATTGTCAGTGATGCTCACTGAATTGTCTGCATGTAAGACGACGTCTATCCTTGAAGCAAATCCTGCTTGTGCCTCATCAACACCATTGTCCAATATTTCATAAACCTAAAAGAAAGCAAAATCAATCAAATTTGGAAACTTTTTTTTTTTTATATGAATAAGAAAACTAAACGGTATTAATGTTGCAAATACAAAGAAGAAAGAAGGTACCAAATGGTGCAACCCACGAAGTCCAGTGCTTCCAATGTACATTCCTGGTCGTTTTCTTACAGCCTCTAAACCTTCCAATACCTTATCATACCAGGAAACTGTTGTTAAATAATAGCACCAACAACAACAACAACAACAACAATAATAACAATAATACAAAGTCAATATGAGAGCTTCTAAACTAGAGAATTTTAACTTAAAACATCAAAGTTCGCCTTATTTATCAATGCTCAAACCCTAAGGTTGATTATCATTTATAGGTTCTTTCTCTTCTTATTAACTCCTCATTTCCAATTTCAGTTAACTTCAAGATTGACAGTTTTGAACTTGACTATAAAAAAAATAAAAATAAAATAATAATTAAAAAAAAAAATTTCTACATGTCTTCTTTTATATTATTCCAACCATGCCATCAAGTTGAAATCCAAATATATAAATAATGGAACTTTTAGTTTTTATATTGAAAAATAATTATGTTTTCCCCCCATCCACATATATGAAATTAGTACTAATTAGCAAAAAGTTGTTCATCATCCTATTGAAAGCCCGTAAAGTGACCAAGAGGCCTGTGGCCTAGCGGTTTCAGGCCCCTACTTTCCAAAGGGAGGTTAGAGGTTCAAACCTCAGTCGAGTGGAGGCATGTGTGTGTGAGTTTTCCCAACTAGGAAAAAAATGAAAAAAGAAAAGCCCGTAAAGTGATGTGCAAACACGCAAATTTCATATGCGGTGAATTACCTGAATCTGTTCAGACCCATAAGCTTTTGAATTCGCACTTTCCTTAAAAGCTTCGGCCCCAATGCTTGACGACATAAAAGCCCGTGGAGACACTGCATTTCGAATCAAAACCGGATTCGAGAACCTTTTGAATCTGAAACTCGTCCTAAAACAAAAACAACAAAATAAATAATAATAATAATATCACAATATCAGTGAATAAGACCGTAAGATAAGCTCCATTTTAAGGCTGAAAAAATTCTAAAAACTATCGATTAAATTCATTTTCTCTGGGAATACCAGAGTAACAGACTATAAGAAACTCAATAAAATATATCTTTCTTTTTTTTAGTTTGTTTTCTCGGAAACCAAACGAGGGTTTAGAGAGAGATAGTACCTGGTAGTGAACAGGAGGGGGGAGGGGCGTGAAAGAGAAGAAGATGATGAGAGAGAAAAGGAGTGAGAGTGAATAGAAGAACACGTGAAGAAACGAGAGGCCATGAGTCGAAGATAAAAGTTTGGACGAGGTTTCAAGCATGCCATTTTGCCACTGGAAATTTATTTCGAACTATTGGTGTGTGAAGAAGGAAGAGGAGGAGAAGAAAAAGATAGATGACCTCTGGGTACCATCTGTCTTTTTATTTTGTTTTCCCTCTAAACCCTACTTCTTTATATGCAGAGTATTCATTTTGAAAACACAACATATTGATGTTTGGTCAGTGGTCGGTGCTTGCTTCCTTCTCTCCTCCTCTCTTTCCTGTTGATACGATTGGGTTAAGATCCAAAACAAAGATGGGCCTGTCCTAACCTAGGCCATTTTTATAGACTTCAAAATAAACCCTACTAAACCATGGCGTGGCCCAAGTGGGAATAAATTACACATGGGATCATACAACTTTTATCATTTTAACCTCTTCTGAATTTTAATCTTAGTTTGGACAAATTACACACATATATTACATGAATTTTCAGTCCTTCAGAGGATCTTTTATTACCGATGGTGGTCCGGCATGACTCAAGACCCTATCCAAGCCCTCCTCCATCATATCAGAAAGAAAACACTGGAATACATGGATAAGGTTCCAAAGTTAACTATTCCAGAACCCGAAATCTTTAACCCATTTGAACTTGTTAAAGATATGATCAGAAAATAACAACCATTAATTACCGAAGCCGATTTAATGGTTAAATGCATGGATTTTATGAGGACTAAATTTATTAAATCTTTTGATTCCTCCACACCTACAGTACGAGATGATGCATCCATGGTGTAAGTCTCTAGCCAAACCAGTCAAGAAGGTAATCAGTTTTCCTGTCTCGCTGGGTATGCACAAGATCCCAATGAACATCTTATTTCTGAAGATGAGCCTACAGTAGCCGACTATTGGTACTCTCTCACCAGTCACTTGATGGACAAGATGAATCCACCCAAAAAGTAAAGATTCCTCTTATCCTGCCGATAGAAGAAGACAAAGAACTTTTCCCCAAAGTCTTTGGTTCTACAGTATTTCCTTCATCAGATGTCTACTTTCCATCAGATAAGGAGACAGAACTTAGTGGTGGGCTGACCGACTGCATTATTCCCGCACACGATCCCATGCACTATGCGGACTTCAAAATGTTAATTTCAAGTCCATTTTATGTATAAATGGAGGGCAAGGTTTCCCTTCAATGTATCTTTCAATTTTCCTTTTCTTCTCCTTGTAATAATTTTCTGTACTAGCTTGGAAGTCCAATAAAGAAAGTTTTCTGTAAGTCTGTTTAAATTTCTTATTCTTGTCTTATCATATATTATCGTGTTTATTTCTGTATCATCTATCCTATATTATCCTATAATCGATCCCTCGATATTAATTGGTATCAGAGTAGAACCTATTTCAAAGACTTTCATCTTGATTTGAGGATCCTGGATATGATCTATAAGATCCAATAAGGATTGTTGAGTCGAAGTCAAAACATTTAAGCTTAACCCATTCATCTTAACAATTGCCTTATAATAATCATCATGAGAGGGATTACAGGAACATCTAGGATTTCCAATTTCTGCTTCAGAATAAGAAGAAGACTGTAATTCCATAACAACATCCCCATAATCAGCTGATGATTCTGATTCAGAAGAACTAGTATTAAGTAACAATTTACTTAATTGAAGTCTCAGTTCATCTTCTACGTGAAGACTACTGAGTTTCTCCTTAGTTCTGCACTTGTTTGCATAGTGGCCTATACGTCCACATTTGAAACATTTAGCCTCAGCTTTGGGCTTTCCTTTACCCTTTACTTTAGGAATATATTTCCTTTTAGGCTTAGTATATTGTCTAGAATTATTCTTTTCCTTTGAATAATTCTTTCTTTTGGAATACTTCATTTTATAAGGTTTTTCAACCTTATTTCTTTTCCTAGGTTTAGGATAAGATAAGGGAGTCTGGTAGGCAAATTGATCACAAAATTCACCTACTTCCTTCCTACCAGTTAATCTTTGTGCTTTTAACTGGGATTGTAACTTCAGATCATTACAGAGAGCTAGACCTTCCTGGATTACAATGTTGACTAATCCACCATAGGTATAGTTTCTGTAAGGGATAGAGATACCATTATTCATATCTCTAAGCTTTTTCCTGATTCTTTCAGCAAAGAAGGTTGGTAGACCATCTACAAATTTGGCTTTCCAATGCTCATGATTTGCATCATTAAGTTGGAGAACCTTTGCCAAGAATACATCTTTGTACCACCGGAAATGAGTTAAAGATGGGCATCTTAGATTCTGTAGAAGTTCACGACTCCGTTCACTATTAGCGCATTCGGGGCCAACAAAATGTTGGATAATAGTGATGATGAGGGTGTAAACCGCATCTGGAGCAGGTCCGGGTTGTTGAGTAGCTTCATCTTTAACTATCTTGGTAGCAGAAAAGATTTCAGCTTTCTGAATGTCGGTGAGAACATTATCCCACCATCCTTTAAGGATGCCTGTAAAACCAGCAACGACAAATTTAGCAATGGTTGGGTCAGTATTGTTGTTGATTTTACAAACTTGGCTATACATCAACATTTGATGAATAACCTCGTAAATCTGATAATCAGATTTCCCATCTATGTTTCATTCATAAATGGTCTTGCCATGAAAAGATTTCTGTGTATGAAAATAATCTTCTTCATACAAGATATCTTGAGGTGTGGGTCTGGGATAATAATATCTACTCGGAGCAGGGGCTGTATTGGAGTGGATATTCTTATCATAGACAATTCTGTTTAACTCAGGTATCTGAGTAAAATCAGTTTGGAAGACCTCAATATGAGATAACACTTCATCAGAATCAGAACCTATTTCAGATTGATCATGGGATAAAATCTGAATTTTAAGTCCTTGAATTTTCTGAGTAAGAAGAGTAAGGAATTCTTCATTCTTCTTAGGATGTGAAAGATTGAAGCCTTTAACTTCAATTGCAGGTTTGACCAATGCTTTGGACAAGGAAGCTTCAGGAGGAGAAGTCTTATCAGTAATACACTTAGTATTAATTGTATTTAATACTGTGTCTATTCCTGTTTCAATTCTCCCAAGCTGAGATCCTATCGTTTGCAAACAAACACTCGTATAATTGTTCTGCCTGTAAACATGAGAAATGTCTTTCTTAGTAGCATTACAGGATGGATCAATTATTTTAGGTTGGCTATAAGCCTTGGTTTCCACTTTGGCACCACTGTCAGGGTCAATCATTTTCAGAATTAGATGTTCAGTGGGAGGATGGACAGAGTGATAAACCTTATCTTCAGATGTGGTCCATGTTTTGAGAAAATCATTCAGTATGTTTATATTAACAAGAGAATGATTGGTCATAAAGAACCAAGAAACAAAAGGTATAACCATTTTGCGTTCTTGTAGAAAATCATAAAATTGGGTTTTAAAAAGCTGTAATTGATTTTGGTCAAAAGCTTTAAAATACCAATTTCTGAATTCTTTATATTGATCCTGTTGAAATTCAGTATTAATGGCAATTCTATCTGGGACAAAATCCATTAAAACTAATATTCATGAGGGTCATTGATGTCTGTAGGATCATCAAATTGATCCTTGACAGATTCATTTCCGATTCCCATTTCAGATGGAGTTGGGCTGAATTCAATTCCAAATTGGCGACGAGACATACCTATTGGTGCTTTCTCGTAGACTCCTCTTGGAATTTGATTATGAGATTGCTGTATTCCTTTCAGCTTGAGTTGATTTGAACCAACGACTTCAGGGAGATCGTCTTTTCTGTAATCCGACGAAATCGAATGGCGAGAAGGAGGACAAGAAACATGATAAGGAAGATGACTTCCTTTAGATGATGTAGATCTAGGTAGATCTATTGATTTTCTGAAATTCAGGAAAACATCACCACCTTGGTCCTGAATAACACAGTCCAAGCTATGATTAGCAATTGGCTTTGCCGGAACTGCGTTAGAAATCGTCCAATGTTCAGGAAATGTTATTTCACTCCAAGGAATCATCCTTTTTGTGGCAACATTTGATGTGTACATATTGGTGTCCCATAACGCTGTCACTCCTTTAGAGTCTTTGCGTATGGCATTTGGACACATAGTATCAAGTACTTTGTAATGGATGCGATAAATAACACCTATCACTTCCGATCCAGGTAAATAATCATACCCATAGGTCTGAACACGAAGACTGACGGCCTCATGGATATTTTTATCTGTTAAAGATAAATTCAGACTAGGATAGACATTAAAATAAACCGGTCCATGACATAGACTGGTTTCCAGTGCACCCATTAAGGAAGGGTGAAATTTCAGACATCTAGCATCCCGAAGGGTTGCTTGAATACAAGCATCCATACCTAACAAGGTTAAAGGTTTAAAAGCAATTTGAATTAAACCTATATGGATGTACTTATATTTGTGCATGTGCCTCTGAAAGTCACGGGAAGACAATAACTTAATTATGGTATCCTTAGTGCTTAATTGCATGGTCTGTTCCATGGTCTTGACAGTCCATAGATCAGTTAAATTAAGCATTCCGATTTTGTAAATGCTCTTAGCACTTACTGGAGGGATAGTCCATCTGTTTAATTTATTTTGAACATTGGTCCATTCCACTAATTCAGTATTTTTTACCAATTCTGAATCCTGGTTTTCTTGTACTCCTGAAGAGGAGGAAGAAGACGGTTTTAACATGTCTGTTAATTATTGTTAATGCTTTAAGGTCTGCATAGTATAAATATTATAATATTATATAATGAACAGTAAGTTACAATTCTGTCGTCGTTCTGCTTAAGAGAGATTCTATTACTCGTCTGTCAACGATTTACTGGAAACAATACCCTGTGCAGCAATTTAATGCAAAAAGCGGGCTTTTATGGAAAGTCTTTGAAATAGGTTCTGCTCTGGCACGATCTAATGAGGATACGGATAATCTAGATTTTCTGAGAGCAGAAAATCATTACAGCATGAAAGAAGTTCTAAGCAGATTAGAACACCAATGACAAAATTCTCGTCCTGCTAATCTCCCTGATCTCAATATGGAGATTAATCTTTTAAAAGAAGAAATTCGCCAGTTAAAGTCTCGTCAACATAAGATGGAACTGGAAATTACTCTTTTAAAAGCAACATCTGTAACTGAAACTTCATCATCCCAGATTGAAGTCCCTCAAACCGAAAGCACGAATTATCTTCAACTCTTGAATCAAGTTACTTACCAAAAATGGTATATCTCTATCAATTTGGTAATTAATCAAGAGTACACTATCACTAATGCTATTGCCTTAGTTGATAGTGGTGCAGATATGAACTGTATCCAGGAAGGATTGGTTCCTACTCAATATTTTGAGAAAACCACTCAAGGTCTTACCAGTGTAAGTGGTGGTAAGATGCAAATTAAGTATAAACTTAATCATGTTTTCATTTGTAAAGAAGGTATTTGTTTACCATCTACTTTCTTACTCATCAGGAATATGGCACAACAAGTTATTTTGGGCACCCCCTTTTTAGCTTTGATCATGCCAATTGAGAAAATTGATTCTCATGGAATATGCTCTAATTTACATGGTCAGTCAATCACTTTTCAGTTTTTGACCCCACCAGTAAACAAGCATATCAATGCTCTTAAAGATAATATTATCTTTAAGGAAAAACAACTGAATTATTTGCAAAAGGAGGTATCCTCCTTAGCAATTAATCAAAGATTGGTACAACCCACTGAGCAACAGAAAATTGAGTCAATACGACAAAACTTTCTAAAGGAAATCTGTAGTGAGATTCCTAATGCTTTTTGGGCAAGAAAGAAGCATATTGTTTCTTTACCCTATGAAAAGGGATTTACCGATCTCATGATTCCTTCTAAAGTTAGTCCCAGCCACATGAAAGCTGACTACTTGGAATTATGCAAAACTGAAATCAGCTCTCTAATGGCAAAGAAGCTTGTCACTAATAGCTACTCCCCCTGGAGTTGCAGAGCTTTTTATGTCAATAAAAATGCTGAAAAAGAACGAGGAATTCCTCGATTGGTTATTGATTATCGACCACTTAATCTAGTTTTGAGTTGGATCCGATACCCAATTCCCAACATCAAAGATCTTTTAGATAGGTTACAATCTGCTGTAATCTTTTCTAAATTTGATCTTAAATCTGGATATTACCAGGTACAGATTGCAGAAGAGGACAGGTACAAAACAGTTTTTTGCGTACCTTTTGGACAATACGAATGGACATTAATGCCATTTGGATTAAAAAATGCCCCTTCAGAATTTCAACATATTTTGAATGACATATTTAATCCTTTTACTGAATTTTATATTGTTTATATTGATGATATTCTCATATTTTCAAAATCAATCGATCAGCATTATAAACACTTGAAAATTTTCAAAGATGTTATTTACCGCAGTGGTTTAGTAGTTTCTGCTCCTAAACTAAAACTGTTTTTAATTAAGGTCAGATTTCTTGGTCATGAAATTTGTGATGGGAAAATTAGACCTATTAATCGCAGTATTGCGTTTGCTTCTAAATTTTCAGATGAAATTAAGGATAAAACTCAGCTTCAAAGGTTTCTGGGTAGTTTGAATTATATTCGAAATCACTACAGCGATCTTGCACAGGATACAACAATTTTGTACACCAGGTTAAGGAAATCTCCTTCCCCATGGACTTTGGAACACACTAAGGCCGTCCAGAAGATTAAACTCAGAGCCAAACAAATTCCTTGCTTAGCTCTAGCCAATTCTTCATGGTTCAAAATTGTGGAAACAGATGCATCAAATATTGGATATGGTGGTATTCTTAAACAGAAGAATCCAAATACAGGAACAGAAGAGCTTGTTCGCTTCACTTCAGGAACTTGGAAAAATGCACAATTAAATTATTCAACCATCAAAAAGGAAATTCTTTCTTTGGTTAAATGCATTTATAAATTCTAAGATGATTTAATCAATCAGAAATTCTTGTTACGCATTGATTGTAGTGCTGCTAAACAAGTACTGGAAAAAGATGTAAAGAATTTGGTTTCCAAACAGATATTTGCTGGTTGGCAAGCCGATTTATCTGCTTTTGATTTTTCTATTGAATATATTAAAGGCAGTTCTAATTCTTTACCTGATTTTCTAACTCGTGAATTTTTGCAGGGTTCATGAATCAGCCCCCCCATGGGCAGGGCCGGGGTAATACTCCAAAGGCTCGTGGCAAAAACAAGGCTAAGGCCAAAATGGTTATACCACTAATCAATTTCCATATTTGGATCATGTTGCTGATCTGCTCAACACACCTTCTAAAGGAAGCAACAGTACACAACAGAAACAACAGAAACCAACCATGAAAGAGGTTCTTGAACAAGAGACTCCATGGATACCTAATCAAAGGTATATTCAGACAGTATTGGTACTGGATTCTCAGGATGAGCAATGGATGCCAGATCCTTGGGAAGTGAAATCCAGATATTTCCAAACTCAACAATATGCTGCACCGGATGGTCGCCATAGATAAATCTATGAAGCCATTCTTACTGAAACTTCCTCTGTGGAGATCAACCACACGAAGCAATTTCCGAATTCCAAAGATAGTCCTCTTACTTATAGTAAAGCTATCTTTAAGAGGCTTATACGGCCTAGTGACTGGGGATTAAATCCTAATTTGCCAAGGAAAATATACTATGGTCACAGTTACAATTATTGGGATTATATTTCAGCTTGGACATATTCGTTCTTTTATCAAAATCCGAAGCATAAGCATTCTTGGTTCTTCAAGATATGCCCTCAATCAGTTAAGGCTGATTTCTCAAACTGGGTTATACCCTGGTGGGCTATATTTGGCCCTGATCTGGATATTTTGCTAGAGTCAATTCGGCAGTTATACTTGCCATGGCAACAATTTCATCCTCAATTACGGGGACAGGATAATATTTCTGTAGGGAAATCCACCCTCTTGTTGTTTACTGAATTTGGAATCCCTTGGATTTGGAAGTGGGATTTCCAATGTGGTTATACCACTGACAAGTTACCAGTCCTTCAGAGGATCTTTTATTACCGATGGTGGTCCGGCATGACTCAAGACCCTATCCAAGCCCTCCTCCATCATATCAGAAAGAAAATACTGGAATACATGGATAAGGTTTCAAAGTTAACTATTCCAGAACCCGAAATCTTTAACCCATTTGAACTTGTTAAAGATATGATCAGAAAACAACAACCATTAATTACCGAAGCCGATTTAATGGTTAAATGCATGGATTTTATGAGGACCAAATTTGTTAAATCTTTTGATTCCTCCACACCTACAGTACGAGATGATGCATCCATGGTGTCAGTCTCTAGCCAAACCAGTACCTAATAAGCATTAACAATAAAAAAATGTTTGCAATATCAGTAACTTCTGTAATTTGCATGTACATATATAATTTATTATTATTTTTTATAGTTATTATTATTTTTTTCCCTAAACCTTATTTTCAAAGAAGAGGGCCATGAGGCCTTGAGATATTAAAAGTTGGTTTTGAACAGAGGTGTTGCACAACCAGTATGCAAACACGTATATGTATTTGTATAGGTACATACGTATGCTATGTTATATACAAAATTGTTTTAGATTACTCTCTCCTTTTAACACATCAATCTAATAAGTCGTCGGAGCCTCAAACTCGGTTCCACTAACTGTTTGTATCTTATTGATCCGGACAATAATTATATTCGTATTGCAAGCACAAGAAAAATAAGCACCACGGACCCACCACCGCCAGCTCACAATAACCCTCATCAGCGCTACAAGAAGTTAGAATTAGGTGGCTCTTGCAATTTAGTGCATCTCATAAGCAATGGAATTGATTGCAGCAGCTGTGCTGTTGAGGCTTGTGGTTTAGTTCATGGTTCTAGTTGAGGTGGTTTATTATGAATCGGGTGGACTGACTAGTGAGCTGCCATAGGTGAGGAGAGAAGACCATCATTATCAATCCCCCACATGCATCACAGGTGACCAAAAAGAAGTACAGGATGCTGATGAATTAGAACACAGTACATGGAGGAACATCCTGCATTCTAAAGAGGCTATAAAAAGTAGTGATTGTAAAGCCAAAGGAGTGAAGGAGGAAGGCCAAGTGAAGCATTTGATTCATGTGTCCCTTGTGAAAAGTGACCATGTCTGTCTCTCCCTCTATATATCATTTTCTTAACCTTTCTTTGTATTTCCTTAAAAGAAAAATAATTTATTAGACCAACTATTTAGTTAATGTCAAAGCACACTTTATTTCCAAATAATCACTCTAATACACAAAATATACAAGAAGTGAATGATGTCTCGGATCGGAACACCTCAAATCGATCAGTTCTATACAAACCAACTAGTTGGCCGAGACTGCTAATTAATAAAAAAGATACACAAGAAGAATGAGATGAGGGAAAAGATAGATCCCCTTGTTTGGTCAATGTATTGCAGTCACCCCCTGTCCTGCTTATGAGTTCCGTGCATTCCTGAAAAATGAAGCTTTTAAATATATAATTATTTTTTCACTGAATTCATTCTTGACAAGAAACCAACAATACTCTTTTTTTTTTTAAGGACAAATGAACTTGTGAGTTATGAATTTTCAACGAAGACTAAAAGTCTATTGGCTTTCCATTTAACAATTTGAAATCCATTTTCTCAATGAATAAAAGCAACCATCCTGTTACCATCATTCTCCTATGGGATTAGCTGATTTTGCTTATAAAATAGGGAAATTAGAGAACCTAAATTATTTCACCTTGCAGAAAGTGGGTGAGAATTATTTATGGCTCCCTTGGTAGCACCGAGCCGTCTTGCCCTTTGATCTTGATCCTTGCTAATTCGTATTGCAGCAACTTCCTTTTCCATGGCAGCTACTTCTCTGCGCATTTTTTTGGCCTCAATTTCCATTGCTTTGTTTAATGTATCAACCTTCTTTGTCAACATCTGAACAATTTCATAGTCCAAGAAAATAATATCAGAGAGAGAGAGAGAGAGAGAGAGAGAGAGAGAGAGAGTAAACAGGTAGATAGGTTTCCAACCTCAATTGCATCATTTTTGTCTTTAAGGCTCTGATCTTTCTCATGGCAAGCTTTCCGCAAAGTTATGACCTCTTTCTGTAACATATCATACAGCGTTCCTGAAACATAATCTTCATGTTGTAATTTTGTTTTCTCAGTAGCACCCCCATCCCCATTCTCCTCTTGTGTATAAATTATCTCATTACTTGGGATATGATCACCAGCACTGGTGGCTCCATTATCTACCCTAATCGCATTTGGAATCATCTTATCTCTATCAAGTGATCTACCACCATCATATGATCTCGATGAGATCTGGACATGCTTTAATAATGCAGCACTATTAGATAGGAAGGATCCAGATTGAGGAGTAGTTCTTCTCGATAAAAGGCCATTTGAGGATGATTTGGACAAATGTTCTGCTCCACCAAGAGACTGGCGTCGTGAAGGCCCATTACTTATACTTCTTCCTTCTGAATTAGTGCGGGAAATGCCATTAGAAGATGATTTAAGTCTTTCTTCCAAAACTTTAAATCGTAATTGATATTTTTCCTATGCAACAGTTCAACCAACAAGCTATTAGATAAGGTGAGAGTTGGGAAAAAAGAAAAGAAAAGGACCAAAACCAAGGAATATTATAAAACTAATTCCTTACTTTTAACTGTGCTTCTGCCTTTGCAGCACGCTCTGCTATTGCCAGTTTGTCTCGAAGTTGTTGCATTTCTCCCTGCCGAGAAACAACAAACTATGTTACATACTGTTTAGAACATTAAGAAGTATAGAAATGTTCAAAAACATAAGTTGAGTATTAAGCCATAACATGCCTGAAAAAATCTTCTTTCTTCAAGCCATTGCTTTACAGGCATTACTTTGTCATTGGCATCTTTCCACTCATTTGCAACTACAACAGCAACCCGATTTGCAGTAACCTTTGCACGAGCCAGTTCTCGGTCCAGGGTCTTTCTCTCTTCCTACACAAGCCTTGGAATCAGATCCAGCTCAGAGATTTGTTATAGATGAGGGATTGTTACCAGTTAACACTTCCAAGAATGATAATACTATTACAGCTTATTACATTCATCTCTTGTACTTTTCGCTGGTAATCACGCACAGCATTGGCAGCAGCACCACCAGCCAACACAGCCTCCTCAAGCTCACTTACAGTTTGGGTTAGTTTTTCGACCTCTGCAACCTTTTGCCGATGCATTTTATCTAATATCTTATTCTCCTCCTGAAACAAGAGCAGCACATGATACATCAAACTGTACAGCATTGATTAATAGCCAAGCTACGTGCTTGTACTTCCATATATAGCTTCTTTAACTTCAGAGATAGTCAAACCTGGCATATTTCAATCTGCTTCATTAGCTCTTGGTTTTTATTTTGCAGATCATCAACCAATGATGCTTTGGCCAAAGCCATTTGAACAGTTCTCTCAGCCTCCAGTAGAGCAGCCTCCTTGGACTTAGTAAGTCGATCCAGCGCTCTGTTGTCATCCTGCAACTTCCCTACCTAATATATCCAAATTTCCAACAAAATCAGAGAACTTTCCAAGTTACTTTAATTGAGTTACTTCAATTAATCTTGTATATTAAGCAACAAACCATGAAATGGCTGCAAAAATTTAACGATACAACCAAGATGGAAAACCAACTTCTAGGTGTGAAGGTGGACAATCAATTTTTTCACAATAAAAGGATTTGAGGAGCTGATTGTATTATATTCTTAGCATATGAAGGATATTTATACTTAATTTATCCATAATGAAGTCTGACCACATCTGTGGACTTGATTACCTTCATGCATAAAGATACTAGATTACTGAGTAGAAAGGATATAAGAAAATCGCAAACATCACTTTCTCTTTGCTATTGCCTTTTCTTGATTCCAACAGGATGATTATATGGTTTTTTTTTTTTTTTCTTCCAAATTTTAAATATGTAGAAATAAACAAGAAACAACATGTGTTATGTCAATAACACCGAGGAATATTTAATGAACGAAACTGGGAGTTAATGAATATTATGGAACGGAGTTACTTTGAGGTTAAAATGATTGCAATAGAATATATCATATGCTTCATAATCTTACGTCACCATAGACTTCTGAATCTAATTTTAGTAGTTTATCAGTTTAAGATAGTTTAAATTTAAAAATTCATTAGTTTATTCTTTTAAATAAGTTTTCTTTCTTTCTTTCTTTTTTTGTCCTTTTTTTTTTTTCCCTTTAAGGCTGTTGACAGTGTGGACTCCATTAATCAAGGATGGTGGAAAGGGTAGGGTTAGTGCATGAAATGAAGCAGGTTTGATCCAAGACGGAGATCCAATGTCCAGTATGGATCTTCATAGAGAGATCCATCATGGATCTGGGTCAGACCTGGATATATCCATGACGTGGAATGGATCGAGTTTACCCTTACAACCAGGGATGGACCCAGCAGGGGACTAGGGGGGGGCAGATGCCCCCCCTGAATTTTTAATATTTTCATTTTATACCCTAATGTTTTTAAAATTTATGAAAATGCCCCCCCTAAAATTACAATTTGCCCCCACTGGATTCTTTTTTTTTAGCATTTTATACTTCAAATTTTGATAATTTATGAAGATGCCCCCACTATAATTATAATTTCCCCACTGATTTTTTTTTTTTTTCATTTTATACTTAAATTTTTTTAAAATTTATGAAAAAAACCCTATTAAAATTACAAAAATGAACCCATCGTATAATTTTGTACCCACAAATTAAAAATTCGCCCCTCCTCACCAAATTTTCTGGGTCCGTCACTACTTACAACCAACCCAAATCATATCATATTTTACTTTATTAGGATCTTGTTTAAATCAAATGGATCATTCCATAGGTCCCGATTCAGATCCAGAAATGGATCTTGACACCTTAATATGGATATGAATTTAAATTTACATGAATCTACTCCAGATCTGCTCCATTTTAGCCCGAGTAAGCTCGGTACAGATGCATATGATATCATTTGCTTTAGGACGGTTATGCACTCAGAACTATGTTCTCACACCTCTGATCTTTACTTGCACTAAACAACGGAAATCATCATGTTTTCCTTTATTAGGATCGTTTTAATCAAATGGATCATGTCCATAGATTCCAATTCAGATCCAGAAATGGATCTTGTCACCATTATATGGAAATGAACTTAGATTTACATGAATCTACTCCAGTCTGCTCCATTTTAGCCCGAGTAAGATGACGTATATGATATCATTTTCATAGAACGGTTATGCACTCAGACCCATGTTCTCACACCTCTGATCTTTACCTGCACTAAACAATAGCCCTTGTGTCGTTACTAACAGGGTAAATTACACTGACCTCCCTGAGGTTTGGGCAAATTACACACCAGTAGAGCATTTGGCCTTTATTACTTTGACCTACCTTGAGATTTGGCGCGTGTGCTCAATGACACCCCCTGCCGTTAAAATTCAAAAAATGACTAAGTTGCCCTTCGCTTGTGTTAAAAGACCTCAATAACCTTATATTTTGACTTGAAATGACAAAAATACCATGAAATGCCATTAAAAGACAAAGTATCAATTTTCATACCAATTTTATATTATTAAATTTTACTAAAATGTTTTTTCTTTTCTTTTTTTTGTTAATGACATTTGATTAGGTTTCTTTTTAGGGTTTGACTAGGTTACTTTTTTTTTTTTTTTTTTTCAAAAAAATTTTTTTTAGGGTAATATAGTGTTTACAAGATGGGAAACAAATTTGGCCTAGCGGTACCAAGTTCCTACTTCTCAAAGAGAGGTCAGGATTTCGAGCCTCAGTGGAGGCATGTGTGTGTGAGTACCAACTAGGGAAAAAAGAAAAAGAAAAAAAGAAACAAAGAAAAGAGTAATATAGTGTTCACAATAGTCTTTTGGTTTGACAGGTTTTTTTTAATTAAATTATTTTAAAATTAGATAAGGGTATGAAAGACATTTCACACTTTTAGGGGAGGTCAAAATAATAAAGGTTAAACGCTCTATCCATGTGTAATTTGCCCAAACCTCAAAGGAGGTCAGTGTAATTTACCCTTACTAATATTATAATTATTTTTGCTAACGAATCATTATTAATTAATTAGAATTGCTCAGGAGGTGCACAATCCACATATATGTGTGTTTGTGTGTGTGTATAACACACTATTTCTGCTTATTTTTTCTTATTCTTTTAGGGATAATATTGAGCCAAGCAGTTTGTGGAAATCAAGCCTCCATTGCTGGAAGCTGTACAAATCTGTTCTAAACCAGAATTCTCACTTTCTGCAGTTATTGAATGTTTAGTCTATCAGTACTTTAAGCAATGGATTCTCTATTCTGGGAGGACCAAGATGCTGCTATATAGGAAAGTATCGAAGTCACTTGTGGAAATGTTGATGCTTACCTCCAACCTAGCCAGTTTTAGCTCTGCCTCCAGCGGAGCAATGATGGCCTCAATGGGAGGCATTTCATCATCTTTTTGGGCAGCATGGACTCTTCGAAGAGTGGCTTCTGCAGCGAATTGTGCAGCCAGCGCTGCTTTTTTCTCATCATTTATCTTCTTGATCTCTAGGTTCTAGATAAATAATAACAAACTCATCAGTGCATACTACAATCCTAAATTGGATATGGAGAAAAATAAAATCAAGAAACAACAATGATAACTACAAATGGTACCTTGCTTTCTAAAAGAGCTTCTGTTGCCTTTAGCTTTTCATCCACCCTTTTTAGCTCATCAGTTAGCTAAAATGGCATCAACCAAAATAAATGCTAAGCAACCTTCCCACAAATATATTTTAAGCAAAAGATTTAAATCATTTACCATACTAATGAAATCATCTAATCCACCATAAATGGAGCAAGTTAAAGAAGCACACAGCTGCCCATTTTAGAGATTAAGCAGCAAGAAAGAAGAAAAGAAACAAACAGCACAATATTCAATGTTTATCATCAACAGTCAAAGAGTTCCATGAAGGCTGTTCTAACTGATTTTTCTCAACATAATCAAATTGTAGAATATAATTTTATTGGAGAGGGGAGACAAAAATGTTCTAAATGAGTTCCACATAGAGCAATAGATAAAAATTAGCTCTTTCAGTTGAAACAAAAATGTCATCTTATCCTGACCGCCCAAGAAATGCCATCACAACTTAGAGGGGCTTTAACTACTTTCTTAAAAAATACGAAATACTAAAAGATGCATTTTAACCAGAGAATCTGTCATTTAAGTTGTAAAAGATTCTATGTTCCAACCATGAACCACCCAAGAAGGATCATCACAACTAGAAAGTACGAAATACTTCTTAAAAAGCATAATTAATATGTAGTAAAAAAAATTCCAACAATATCCTTAAGTAATTTTGCTTCTTGATACAATGCAAAAATTAATACCAGTGTTTTAGATTATAAGCAAACTATTGGAGCTAATTTCAAATTTAGGTACCTCTTCAACTGCCTTCTCTTTTAGGCGTTCAGAGTACTTCAATGCCTTGATTTCTGCATGTGCATCTCCCAATTCCCTATCTTTATCTGCAAATGTGGATAAAACAACAAACATATCAGATTCCTGATCAATTCTACTCTATATGGTATAAAGAGAGCTTATGTGGAAATCACTTATGGTCTCTTTCCTTCAAAAGTAAAAGATTGCTACCTTAATAATTTCTATAGTGAGGGAAATGAGTATTTGATATTGTACTTATCTTGTTGAAGGGATTTGAAACTGAACATGCAGAGATACAAACCAATGCATTAGTCTCATATGTATAACTAGCATCTTCTATAGCTAGACGACCACTAGCCATCCTCACGATTCATTGGAAACAAACAAGTATACAGCAAAGCAACATCTGGCCTAGAGGAAGTGGACTTTGGCCAATGATGACTTTCAATAAAATAGTTTTCAATTTGATTATTTTCTTCAATTTACACCCACCAAGCCTTGTTCAGAACTTGAAATATTAATTTTTCTTATTGGCTACTAACTTGTACAACCCTTCACTGAAATACAGGATGCTCCCTTAAGGCTGTTGGTAGTCAAAATTGCCCTTTAATAGAATGTACAAAACAAGGTTACCCCATAGGGAAGCCACACCAAATTTAATAACTCCCGTCCCTCCATGAGCAATTTTCTTTGAAACCATAACTAAGATGGAAAAGCAAAGTACTGTAATATAAAATCCCAAATAGAAACACACTATAGCACTAATCAAAGTTTGAGCTTTGAGTTTTGACCTATATTGCATAAACACTTCAATTTGTTGAAGTACTCATGTTGCAGTTGGCCAAAACACACGTGTATGGTACATGTGTCCAAAACATTTACTTTTCAAATGCCTACAGTAATACATATACTGTTCACTTAAATTTTCATGGGATATGTGTTCCAATAGTTACATACCGCAAAGGAACCACCAAAACCCATCTGCACAGAAACTTCATTGTTTTTCAGAATGCCGTGGAAACTACATTTTTTGGTAAGTTAAAGATAAATATCTTTCTTTTCTTTGATAAGAAGACACAAATCTTTGTACACGAGGAGTATGCAAGAGAGTGCATACACCTTAAAAGGTATAGAAGTTAATTATGAATACTAATAAGCCATAGCAATCATTAAGTTTTGAGGCTGTGTCATGCAATTTAGGAATTTAAGCAATCGAACAAATAGACAAAAACAGGCACCTAACAAGCATATCTGGGCCATCTGATCTGATATATATTTTCAAATTTGGGAGAATACAAAGAGAGAACTGTAATTGTGACACAGTTTCTTGAATGTCTCAGTTTGACTTAAATTTTCCAACATCTTTAACAATCTAGTCATTTTCCCAGCGAAAATCTGGTATTTCCAACACAGAGTACTTGAGTTAGATAAAACAATTCTCATAATCTATAAAGATATTTGTTCAAGAAGAAATTATACGATAGACCATGGAATGGAAAGAACTTCCCGATGCCAAATGGCTGTCCAGCTACCCATTGTTAAGGTGCATTTTCATAAAGAAAAAAAATAAAAATAAAAAGGGCAATTACCAGTTAAATCTGACACATTATAGGCACCATCAATTTTCATGAAGATACTCTCCAGGAAAATATCTATGTCCTGGCAAAAAATTTCTGAAATTTAACTGAACTGGAAAGGCAGAGATTCGAATTTGAAGCCTTGCATATTTTTTTTTTCCCGGTGGAAAATGTTATAAGAACAATCCTCGGTTAAAACGAACAAAGCATACACTCACGACCACCAAACACGAACGCACATAAATAGACATTGAATTTTAGGATGAAAAGAATTCCAAATATATAATAAAAAAAAAAAAATTAATGTTACCCCAGAAAACCCCATTTCTCATATGGTAAACGTCAAACAACTACGTCTATTTCCATGAATCAAACCTCGAAAAAATTTCCTGGAAAATATAATTAATATAAGCCTTCATATTCATGTAGGCGTGAGTGTAGGTTGAGGTTTATTTATTTTGCCTCATCAATTAGCCCCCGAAAAGTATTCAACCAAACGGACACTATTAACTCGGCAATAATTTCCGGGGAAACTTTTTCCGTCAATAGAGAGCGAGAGAGTAATGCAAACCTCGGACTTCATTTTCGAGGCGATTGAGCTCGACTCTGACTGGATCGGAGCCGTGCAAGAGGTTGACGATGTCATCGACGTCGGAACCGGCTCTGGACATGATAGTCGGCTTCTTCCGAGACTTAAACGAAGCCGACGAAGTCAGGAACGTCGGCTTCAGCGACTCCGGCCCCGGCGAAGCCTCGCCATTGCTAACGTGAGTGGTCGCCATTAGAGATCTTCCTCAGTATGCTGAGACTAGTTTGAACCCTAAAATTCCGGAGAGGAGAGAAAATAGGAAAGGTCTGCGAGAAAGAGCGCTTAAATCTATGTTTGAGCAATTATATAAGGCAGACTTAAAAAGGGTTTAGGCGGGGTTTAAATGAGATAGAAATTTAGTTTAAGTGGAGAATAAGGAGATATGCATATGCATGTCTTACATGTAATGATTTGGAACATCCTAGTCAAGAGGCTACGCGTCATTGTCCTTCTTAGATGGTCATGGAACAGCCATTTCGCCAGAAAAAGAAAAGGAAGTGCTTATTTTTCCTGATATATTCTAGAGTAGTATAATTTTACAAATTATTAGGAAAATTATACTGAACTAATAGATCCATCAAAAGCTTAATTGGGTATATAATTTTAGTATTTAGCTCTTGAAATCTATTCCTCATGGTAGTCTTAGTCTTTATTTTATATAGATGGATCCAGCACGTGAATTTTTTTAATTTTATTTTATAATTTATTTCTTCTCTTCAATTTAATTTTTGAAATAATTTTTAATAATTTCATCGTACTAAAAAATTTTGATTGGCCTCTTTCTTATTTACCTTCTCAACGAATAACTTTAATAAGTGTGCCATCCAACCTTGGTTTAGTTGCATAGTGCTAGTGTTGGATTCCCACCCCATCATCCCTCTGCTTAACTCCCTAACCCTCTAACCATTGCCTAAACAATAAAATAAAATAAAGTCTATTATTTTTAATTTTATCATTTTACTTGGAATATATCTAAGTTTCCTCTCACACATTCATTATTTTTAGCGTTAAAGGAGAAGGTAGTTTGGATTATACTTAGATGTCACATGGTGGTGTCCAATTTATATTGAGAGTGTGAAAAATGTTTATTTATTTGTTTTTTTTTTGGAGTGGGAGAGAGAGTTTTAATTGGGGGACCACATGGTGGAGGACATTTACCCTTTAGGACATCCAACGGCTAGATATAATAATTTGGGCTTTCTATAACGGTCCTCCTTAAAGCTTGGGGTTGAACAAACGGTTATAGCGTGTGGTACACTTTTCACTATGCAGAAAAGCCTGAAATCGTTGAGCTATTTATGTTGATCAAAATCAATCCATGTGTAGATGATGAGGTAACATGAGAAGTAAGGTGAGATGGCGAAGCAGGGGAAGATGAACATGCAAGAGAATAATACAAAATGAAAAGAAGGTATGCGGAGATAGAAAGCAAAAAAATAGAAAATAAAGGAGGACAAGTGCACATGGGAGTGGGTAAAGCGTAAAAAGAGTAACACATCACATGGAGGGAGTTGAGTTTTAAGTTAGAGAGACAAAGCGTGAACGTAACCAGTTGATGGGTCCTCCTTTGATTTCTTAGCTCATCACTTCCTCCAACCCACACGACCGCCTGTTATTGTTTCTCATTATTTGGACATAATATGTGTACCTGTATATGTTATATACACACACTCATATATCCAAATGCTCTCTCGAAAATCAAATCATAAACATATGTACATTTCTTTCCTTAAAAACAAAACTTCTATTTTCTTGGACACTTGTACAATAAAAGGACTTGCAATATTCATTCCATCATTTATCATTTAAGATGGGTCGGGTTGGATTGGATTCCATCCATCTCACTCTTTTATTATTATTATTTTTTACTAATAAAAAATTCACAACCCCATTTATCACTATGAACTTTTTTATCTGCTTATTCATCTAATATTTCCACGTACCGCAGCTGATGATACAGATCCGTCTTACAAGTTACAACAAATATCAAAAAATTAAAATAAATTCTAAAATTTTCATACCAGAAGATGTTAATGCTTTAACGGAAAAGCAAATAAACAAAATAATTGGAGTTTTACCAACTTTTAGACTATATCTGGATTTGAATGGAAAAGACTCCATGACACCCCAACATAGCCTAAAAAGAAGGGAGTTCCTCCTCTTTCCCTCCCTTTTTAATTTTTTTTTTGGACAATGCGTAATTATTCACTAGTGAGTAGGGTGAAACTACTTATTCCTATGTGATTCAATAACAAAATAACATATCACATTTAATAATAAAATAATCCACACATTTTTTTGTTTTCTCGGATCAACCATTGAATAAACGTATATAATATTTTCAGGTGTGGATTACTTTATTATTAAATGTGATGTGTTATTTTATTATTAAATTATATGGGGTGAGTAGCTAAGCATTATCTTTTTTTTTTACTTCCTGATGATGGAGGGCCTTACTATGAAGCGACACAGACCTTGCTCAAAGCTTATCTTTGTAACTTATCCGTCACTTGTCCTACTATTGAAATGACTTTCTATTTCCACTTTTCATTTCTATTCCCTTCAGATTTCTATTCCCTTCGGATCCGATAAATTTTTACTTTTAGTTTACTCCAATTCCTCAAATGTTTCAGTGTACTTTTCTTCTCAAATAATGTAAATATAAATAATATTCAACAAAATATAAATAAATCAATATATATATATATATATATATATATATATATATATACACACGGCATGTTTCACTAAAATTTATAATTAATAATCATGCAATGAAACCCTCGTACCATTGTTATGATGCAAAACTATTATATATATAAAAAAAATGAATGATTTGTGCATGAATTCTAATCTCATTCTCATAAATTATTCATTTTATGATCAGGTTTGACATTAATATCTATTATTAATAATTTAAATTGATATATTTATTTGGTGAAATTCATTATTTTATATATATATTTATGTTTTAATATAATATCTTTTATAATAATATAATGTGTAAAAGATCTTTAAGGTAAAAATATAATATATACAACCCTCAGATTTCAGCTTTTGTATTTAACAAACAATTTTAATGATTAATATATTCAGCGCTTAAAGTTCATTACAAATTTTCAACGCTTAATTTTCAATTTTATCAAACAGGCAGTTCCACGTTCATAGTCACAATGAGGTGCTAGAAGCTAGGAGTACATAGCCTCGAAGATGCTACTACTTGCAGATTTTGAGCATAAGCTTCTCACTACGACTTGAAAGCTTGACTAGAATCAGACACAACCACAAGGTCACACTAGCAAACCCACTTACTGAACAAAAAGGGGCCCCAACAAAAAGCACTGTGAGCTATTCGGGTATTGCCGGCTGCAGACCTCCTCCTCTAGCACACTTCATTACAAACCTTTTAGCCAAATGGAATGCCTTGACTACCACCTCCACCAAAAGAGAGGCATTCATTCAAATATTCAATCATTACCCGTGCCACCAGTCACTGGTGGGTTGGGAACATGGATCATTCTGTCAGCTGCTGTTTCTGCACCATGCTTTGCCCCCTCGCTTAAAATTAAAAACGCATAGAGGCCAGCAACCGTTGCATGATTAGCAGCTCTGGCTAAAATGCCCCAGACGGCCCCTAGCAGATCTCCAAGGAGAGGTTCTCGCATTTTTTTGGTAAGCAAGAATTTAACATTTTCTTTTCTTTTACTTTTCCAAATCATACAATTCCCATTTAGGAATATATATATATATATATACTGTTTCCCATTCCGAAGGGAAGGTGACAAAAACTGGTGATTCAATAAAATGAAATGGCAAGAGTATTGCGGTACCTCAGGGTTTAAAAAACATATGCATTTTTCTTCGTATCTTCATTTCCATCATTCCCTGTGGAACCCCCAACTATTCATAATTCACAAAATAACCCTTCTTACCAAGGTTACTGACGTCAGCCACATGTAAACAGCACACTACCATGAACTAATTTGCAGCTTATCAGGTAGAAGTCATTACACCCTCATTTTTCAGAAAATAGCCGCCCCACGGTGATAAAGATTATCTTGTGCGTTGGCCCAAGTAACAAGAGTCACATTGAAATGTTCTTGAGTCACAACATTTAACTCTAGCTTGTTATCAGCAGTATTTCATGTTCCTTGTTCAACTATGATTGATAGAAACCATTAGAAGGCCTTTACAAGATTTTTCTTTCTTTTTTCTTTTTTTTTTTTTTTTTTTGGGGGGGGGGGGGAGAATTTTTAAAATCACCCAAGTATAATGCTGCAATTTTACAAAACACCAGACGATGCACATTAGCTGAGTTCCTCTTCTGAAAACCCTAACCTTGGAGACCTTTGCCTCTTAAGTCAGATCCCTTTGCTAAAGCAGCTTCACGTTCCTGACGACGACTCTCTCTCTGAAATGAATCAAACGTCCACAAAAAAACATTAAGATATATAAATAAATTACCTAGTCTATAACATCAATCAATGCAAAGGTTACACACGGATTTCCATTTTATTTGTCAACAATCGAGATCACTTAAATACAAATAAGACCTTCTTAACCAGCTTTGATACATGCCATTATATTGCCCCAGTTGATATACATTCTAACAAATGCCTACACTAAACAATATTTGGAATCTTCATTAAGACTGGCTTATAATTTAAATAACATTGTAGATGAGAAGATATCGTTGATAAGTTGAAACAATCCAAAACATAGAAAATGTGAGCTTACAAAAGCCACCACCAGAAATTCGGAATGTGTTTCACAAAAATGTCAGAATGGTCTAGCTATCAAAGGCTAAGGAACATCTACAGTTGGGTTAATTATGTCAAGTTCTTCCGAGCTGCGAAGTCTGAAAATAACATGTGCTTAGAATTATGAAAATAATATTTTAAAATTTTTTAATAGCAGAGGATGTGAACTACCAGTTACAGAAGGAACTCTAACTCCCTCCTTTTCCACAGTTCCTCACTCAAGCCAAGACTTTGCAGCAGTAAAACAAGAAGGGGAGGGCATCATATGAAATATACATTTATAATCTGCAAAATTTGCGGAGAAATTTTCTAGCGGTTTTCATTTTGTTCTAGATTAGCTTGACAAAGCAGCCAGCTAAAACAGGGGATTAATTCACTTGGGCTGGACCCTCAACCAAGAATTGCAATGGAAACCATCCAATTGCCATGATCTGTTAGACCTGGGATTCCAGTCAATTTGGCCAGATCCACATCATAAGGGTGATATTAAAAAGGAAAGGTTTCATGCCTGAACCTCTACCTTGCGATTACATGCTAGTATTTCTTGAAGCTGATGAAGGGTATTGCCAAAACAGGTTCAGCTTATTGGTAAACATGGAAGCAGGACTAAGAAAGGAACCAAGCACCAGGAAATTGTGGGACATTATGGGATTATATGTGAAAGAAAAACGACTTTCCAGCTGGTACAACAACTCATTAAATCAACCCTTCAATATCTATTAAAACGACTTCCTGTTATTTAACCGGATATTGTAAAGTAAAAAATAAAAAATACAAGAAGAAGAAGGGATACAAACACACATAAAAATGATTTTGCATTGAAAATATTATTTGAAGGAAAGAGGAAGTCAAAGAAGGAAAATTAACCACCACCTGGGGTCTTAAAATTGTAAAAAAAAAAAAACTGCACACCGGATATTAGTAATTACCAGCACGTCTTAAAATTCAAAAAACTGCATACAAAGTTCCAAATTCAAAACTAAAGCTACTACTTTACACCACCATCCAAAAGGTGGATGTGTTTGTGGAGATCTGGAAAGTGGAGAGAAATTACTGGAGAATGGATGCATTTGAACAATTTTCTTGGAAAATGTTAAGGTAACAAAGACGAGAGAGAAATTTTTTAAAGGGGCCAAGCTTGCTTTCTTTTCAATTGACTTTGAGATATTATTGTGATTTTGATTGACTAAGGCATTGAAACAATGTTCCTGTGAACAGTGAATAAGACAACAGTTGGGTTGGGTCAAAGAGAATGTGAACAGTAAAGCTACCTAACGGACTCCAACCAAGGACCCAGAACAAGCCATAAGTCATCGAAGAACATGTGAAAAGTTAAGGAGGTTTTGAGAAGGCCACCTTTGTGATTTAGAGGGTTAGCTCATAAGCTGAGCGCATGAAATGAATTAGGATCTTACATTTGAAAGTCATTTTTGTTACTAAAGGTATACAATATTTTATAGGTAAAACGTTTTATTGAGCTGTGTGTAGATTCAAAATCTGGAAGAAAGGAAGATATTTCTGAGAATGTTTTACGTTGGAACAGATGCAGTGAATAAACCTTCAACTAAAAGGCCACCTACATAGGATGCTAGGAGAGAGAGACAAAATACAAATAGAAATTTTGACTTTATTTTTACACATAGTGGGCTGCTCTCAAACTCGAGCCTATGTTCCAAGCTTGTTGGCTAGAGATTTTACCATTGCACGATCCAATGGCGCTTTCATTAAAATTTAAAAAGAAAATGAATACCGTGGCAAGGATATTACAATGATGCAGCCATGCAGTAACATGATCCAAAATATCCATCAAGAAGTATATGTCCCTGCCAAAAAGCTAAAATAGCTCTTTGAAGGGGGATGTACGGTGAAATTTGAAGTATTATCATTCAACTGACAGGATTACATCATTACACCATTTAGAAAAGACAGGTGGAATATTATAAGGAAGTCATTAGCGTTGGAAAAAGTACATGGACTTCATTGCTAAAAGAATGAAAGTAAGAATCATACCCTTCTTTCCCAGTATGGAAGAAAGCAAACGAAATCATAGACCGGAGTAATGGTTGATACCAAAATAGCATTGAGCCCGATAAAAACCAAGAGTGCTGCCATTGGGCGAGTCTTATGTGGCATCTTCTTTATGTTTGAGTTTCTAACTCTGCAATCTCATAGCAGAGGTATTACTAAGCATATAGAAAATACACACACACACAAGCAAGCAAGTGGAGCTTACTTATAAACAAAATGAAAATTAGAGAGAAACTAAGGTAGCAGCAAAATTCAGGGAAAAAAAGAAAAAAAAAGAAGGTAGCAGCAGAACACAACAGTGTCCTACAACCTCTAAAATGAACATCTGGCTCAGCCATAGAGGATTAGATATGACATTCAATGTATACAAAACAGAACTACATTTTTGTAACTTAAGAGGTGGCATCGACAGAACAGGTGAGCTGGCTATAATTGGACAAATCTTCCTCAAAATTGAGGTAAGCAACATTTATAGTTGCAGAAAATAGAAAATAAAATGACACTACTACAATTCTACAGAAACCAAAATATTAAGAAATAGAATTGAAATTTATTTTTTTATTTTTTATTTATGATAGAAAGGAATCCGAAGTCAATAAGTTACTCAAAGACCTACTAGCCTCATATATAGCAGCCCATGGATTACATAAGTTAACCTTCCCAGGCTCATAATACTCAACTGCTCGAGTTAAAGACCACCCCTCTACTGCCCCATATCGGCCATATCTAAAAACCAAAGCTGCAACCCTTCCAGACCAGAAATGAAGTCACCACAAAAACTACTTATCGGGAACAAATATAGAAATTATTAATTTGAATTAGGTCTGACTACTTACCACATGGGACCAAACAATGACAGCGACTAAAAAATCCTATATGAACAATAAAAATAAATGCCCAACATCAATTATATCAGTTAAATATTTAAATGCATGGATGAATTAATTAGTAGCTATACAAACTTCAACATATCCACATTATAGTGATCACTAATGGAAATAGATCCCTTGTTTCTCAAGCTTCTACAGAGCTATGAGATAACCATCCATAAATAAAGTGCAATTTAAGACTTCATCAAGCTTTTGACCTTAAAAGAAGCCATGCATACATTTAATAAAGATACAGTTGCTGAATCATTATTGCAGCATGACTGGATAGTTTACACACAATAAGTATTGGGTGAACAAAATTGTTGAAATTTAGTACATATAAAACAATTGAATTTTCCATAGTAATTCTCCTGTTGGCAATAAGTTTCTAATGTTTCCACTTCTCTCTTCCTTTTATATATATATATATATAATTTTTATCTATGTATCTCAAAAAAAATCATATGTTATCTGATGCTACTACATTTTATGCAAGTTTGTGGACACATCCTATAGTAACATACAAATGGTACAAGAGAAAATTAGTTGACATTCAAAGCTGTTACAAATATATAAAAATAAAAATAAAAAATAAAAATAAATAAAAAAAAAAACAGAAGAAGAAGAAGAGAAAAGAAAGAAAGTCATGTGTTGTAATGTGTCAAAAAAACTTTTGTACCTCATTTTAGGAGCAGTTTAGTACCATAATAGTTTTGTGAGTAGACATGTAGAAGGTAGAGTTCTAGTCAAAGCCTTGGGCAAGTAAAAGTGAGATCAGAAGACAGATGAGTGTGTTCCTCTATGATGGGTGGGTTTCTACTTTCTAATGAACTTAAGCACTAGGGTTAATACTGAGGACTCCATAGCAAAATCCTTCAGCTAATAAGAAATCTAAAATGCCATTGTTGCAATAGTCTGATAACGACCTTAAATTGGAAAAAGATTTGCATAACAACTAATGAACAATCAAACATTTCAAATGAACTTAGAAACAAGTTATTCAAATTTTAAATTATCTCTTTATTATTTGGATTATATAGGATTTTTTATTTTTCATTTATACAAGAAAATATTTCATTTACGGTCTTATGAAGAATCAATTATCTATGGCATGGGTAATGGAACTATTTCATTCAATATTCGATAGAACTTTATGTTCAAATCGTGCAGTTAGAATGACGTAATCATGCCCACCAACTGATAAACACAGATGGATAATTGCTATAAAATTTCAATGAGAATCTTTAAAATCGTGTCAAAAAGCAGAAGCAACCATATACGAAGGCAATAACATACTGCTAAGAAAATTAAGTAAGAATGAAAATTGAATTTTACTTGTGAATCTTTAGTTTTATATAGATTGTGTTTCATCTATTTTTCTTTTGACAAAAATAGGGGAAGAGAAAACTCAGTTCAACAGCACCACCAATTAACGAAATATACAAACTAGACTCAAAACTTCAATTCGTACTTGTTTTCTACCTTCTCTCGGCAACTAATTAGGTGTTTCTTTAAGCTTTGAAGAATTGTCTTATAGTATATTACAAGTGTGTGTAAATCAAAGTACCTGATTCGAATTTCGAAGAAGGATTCGATTTTTGAGCTGATGACGAGAAAGTCGTGAGTCAAAATAAATCTGAACAAAGAAGTTCAGACAGAGAAAAGGAGCATGAGCGTGGGGGCGCGGAGGTGGGCAGTAGGGGTGTGCTGGTCGGTAGCGGAGCAAGTGGAGGAGAGAGATGTAGGTAGGGATGTCAATTTCCCCAACCCGGCGGTTAGGTAGCCCTTAAATGAATTTGGGCTGAGTATGGTAAAATAATTAAAAATCCGAAGGGATTTGTGGGGGGACGGATTTAATAATAAATTCTTATATATATATTTTAAAATTATATATATATATATAAAACATATATATTTAATATTTTTTAACACCATTGTTATTTTGCTGCAAATGTCAATTAATATATTATTCATTACTTAGTAATTTAAAATTTGGGTCAACTTATTTATCAGCACAATTTGAGCACGAGAGCTAGTTTTTTTTTTTTTTTTTATTAAATAATAAAAGTGGCATAACCCGCCCTGCCCTCGCAGAATGCGTGGGGCGGAGTCGGTATTTTGTCTGTCGAAGTAGGAACGGGGATGTATACCAATTACAAATCCGTCCCGAAATAGGAGCAAGTTGATATGACAAATTTTCTAACGGGGTGGAATAGAGTTTAGCTAAACCCACCCCAGCTTCGCCCGTTGCCATCCCTATATGTAGGGTATCACCTTTATATTTTTTAGTTTTTTTTTTTCATTATTATTATTATTTTCCTGATAAATAGGAATTACGCCGGGATCCTATAAATACTAAATCAATAAAACTTGAAATAAAATATTTTTTTCTCATTTTTATTTTTGGGTAAATTACAATGACTTCCCCTGTTAAATTTCAAAATAATAGAGGCCTTTCCTATAACATTATTCTGTCAATATTGACTTGGATCCGAAGGTGCTAAATCACAATTATATCCATTGTATTTTTATTATTATTTACCATTACAACATATGGATAAAAATGCTTTTTCAAACTTTCTAAGGCAAAATTGAGTACTAAATAAATTTCAACCATGACATCATCTAACAATATTAACAAATTTTATGGCAGGGAATATCAGAGTTACTCAAATCAGAGCTACATGGGAGGTTAGTATTATTTTTGAAATTAGTGAGGAGGTCGCTATTATTTAAACATTCAACATAAGAGGTACTGTACATTTATTTTTTAATGAATCATTTTTCATTTATTTGATTTTAAAAAGGGTTAATTTAAGAAAAAACACTTTAACAAGCCTTATTTACTAGAATGTAAACACTTAAAAATAAACCCATCAAAAAACACTTTAGGAAAAAGTAGTTACAAATCTGTCAATTTTTACTCTTCATAAATACATGGAGACCAAATTGCCCTTAAGTACTTTATAGAATTTACTAAACTACCCTTACTTTTCTTTCCATGTCATCTCTCTAACCATTGCCAATCTGAAATTTACTTCTTCTCCTCACCATTTGCAGAATTAGGGCACATTTATGTGCTGAGAGACCCATTTTAGACTAGACCCATTTCGAACCGTCATCTCTCTATATACTCTCTCTCTCTCTGCTCAAGAATCTTAAATAAAAGACCCATTTCAGATAAGAATTTTCCCATTCTATTTCTCATCTCTCTTTCTCGCTCTATATGTTTGTTATTTGGATCTGTTCTTCTCTCGCTATATTTCTCACATCAGATGTGACCCATTTTAGACAAGACCCATTTGATGAAGCTTGATGCTTACCGTAACGATGATATCATTCTCTGTTTTTTTTTTTTGGCTGATAGATCTGTTGTATATATGGCTTGATGCATAATGATTAATGTATTCTATCATAAATATGTTAAATCCTGGAAGCATGTTCGTGCAATACTTGAGTGCATTAAAATTTTACTTTGTTTAAGTGCAAGTTTTACATTATTCAGTAAAAGTTTTACATTATTGCAATTACCGTTTTACTTTGCTTAAGTGCAAGTTTTACATTATTCAATAAAGATTTTACATTAGTACAGAGAACGTTTTACATGAGTGTAGTGAATCTTTTTTTAAAGCTCATTCTTCTTTTTCATGTTGTGCTCTTTCGCAAGAGTAGGTAGTGTCAACAAAGGTCCGAGATATGAGGGGGTTCGAAGTTGATCTTGCAGAGACCCAGAAAGCGAGAGAAGAAGAAACCCAAATAACAGGCATATAGAGCAAGAGAGATATGATAAATAGAATGTGAAAATTCTTGCCTGAAATGGGTCTTTGTTTCAAGATTATAAGGAGAGAGAGAGTGAGTATATAGAGAAAAATGAGACTTAGAAATGGGTCTTGTCTGGATTGGGTCTCTCAACATGGAAGTGTGCCTTAGGAATGCAAATGGTGAGAAAGGGAAGTAAATTTCAGATTGGTAATTGTTAGAGAGATGGCAGGGCCGGCCCTGAGATTGAAAAAATCTTGAGAGGCCCTAGGCGAATTTTAAATGTGAGGCCCTTTATACATAATGTTTCACACGCACAAAAAAAAAAAAAAAAAAAAAAAATATATATATATATATATATATATATATATATATATATATAAAAGTGCCAAATTTTTATTAAAGTAAATGTGATCATCTTGCATTTTTAGTTGCAAAAGTATCAATTAAGGTGCTCCAATCAAGTTTCTCTAATATATCTTTTTCAATAGATAAGATAGCCAATCCATTCAATCTTTCTTGTGTCATCGTACACCACAAGTAAGATTTGATTAACTTCAACTTTGAAAAGCCTCAAGTTTAGCATCTCTTGGAAGACCTCTTTCAACTAATAAATCTCTCAATTTTTTATCAATCTTTCTCCAATTTGCTGGATCATTTATGTTCAAGGGAAGATTATCATTCTCATTCACATGTTCTTCATTACCAAATCTTTAAGTTCATTCACATTTTCTTCATTTTGATTCTCATTCCTATCTTCATTCATTAAATCTCCATGCTCATTAAGATTTTCTTCATTCCTATGTTTTCCATTCACCAAATCTTCAACTAAACTCTCTATTTGTGTATTATTCCTAAAAAACTTACGAATAACGCCTTTTTGAGATTGAATCAATTCTTTTTCTCTCTTCTTCTTTTTTTCCTTTTTTTCATGCCCAGATTCAAATTTTCTTGTAGACATAATTGGCAAAAAAAAAAAAAAAAAACCTTTGTAATTTTCCTTATTGTTCATCAGTACTGTTTTTATGATTTTATTACTATATATAATATCTATATACTTGGAACACAACCATTAACACTTGGACATAAAATTATATAAATAGCAATCCTAGCAAGGCTGAGATCTTCATAATCAGAAAAAGAATGGAGGTTTTAGTCTGTACGGAAGATTGAATTCTTGATTATCCAATTTATCCCGCCTTTTTTGTTCTAAGCCTCTGAGTCTCCTATTTCAAGCGTCCCATAAATTTTCAAAATTCTATAATCAACCAGACCAATGAAATTAGATTCAAATTGATCAAAAAGGAGAAAAGGGATTCCATAAACACACGGAATCAAGAAGGAAAAAAAAAAAAAAAAAATTTCAATTTCAGATTGGAAAATGCCAAAAAGGAACCCAGTACCATAAATTGGATGAGCTACTTACTTGTAATCTTTTCGGCGCTGCTCCCGAAGAAACTGAAGCTAATCTCCCAAACACAAAACCAAATCTTATCCTTGGAGGAGCGACAGCCGACAGGAGCCCTAGAACACAGATCGTTTTTTCAATTTTTTTCTTGATTCGAAAAACATAAAAATGGGTAAAGAAAATCAGTGGCTAAAAGATCCAAGCTGAACAAAATTGGGCCCATAAAACCAAACGTTTTATTTCTATTATGGGCCCAGTATTTTTTTATTTCTGTATGAGTTTTTTTCTGTAGGATCAACTTTTTTTTGGGCCAAATTTTTGGCCTAGTATAAGTATATTGGTTGGGCCAAAATTTGAGGCCCCCATATTTGGAGGCCCTAGACGACGGCCCAGGGCCGGCCCTGAGAGATGGGATGGAAAGAGAAACAAGGGTAGTTTAGTAAATTCAATAAAATGTTTAAGGGTAATTTGTTCTCTATGTAATCATAAAAGTAAAAATTGACAGATTTGCAATTACTTTTTCCTAAAGTATTTTTCAATGGGTTTATTTTTTACATTATAATGAATAAGGCTTGTTAAAGTGATTTTTATTAAATTAACCCTTTATAAATCTGAAAGATATATATATATGCATTTTTATCAAAGAATATACAATAAGATCTATTGTGAGACGAAGTGCAATGAGAGAATGAGGTGGGACCGTGTGATCGTGTTTAAGCCATTGACGAAAAGGATTAAAATTTTCATGTCACGTGAATAAATCTTTTTAATAAAATACAATTATTATATTAGATGTAATTTCATGAGTACCATTAACATATGTTGTTGTTGTAACTTTGACAAGAGTGTAAATGTAGATTTTTTCAAATTATACATAAGTAAATTAGGTTTGACTTTAACTTATTTATTATTTTATTTATAAACGATGGATAATTATTGATCCTTTATTTGTTAAACTATAATTGGACCAAGGTAAGAAAACAAAACCAAACATACATTTCAGTTCGTTTCTATAGATTTTTCATGCACCCCTAGTTGCCATTATCTGCTAATTATCGATTTTTATTTGTAGAACTGGAATTGGACCAAGTGTAAGAAAACAGAACCAAACATACATTTCAGTTTGTTTCTATAGATTTTTCATTCACCCCTAGTTGCCACCAGCAACCCATAAATTTGAAATGAATTCAAATTTGATTGGATATAAATTGCCATAAATCATACCAGAAAGGGTCACGGTATAGTGATACATCTTCTTCTTTCAAAATAAAAAATTGAGGGTTCAAGTATCTTTTAAGAGCAAAGTGAGTTTGTGAATGATTTTCTTGTAAAGGTAAAAAAGAAAAAATAAATTTCCAAAGGACTCAAGTGCATAAGCTACACATAGAGAAAAACTTGGGGGTATTTTAGGATATAATTTGATTATTGTTGATGCAAAATTCTTTCCCAATTCAAAATAAATGACATTTTTGTCATAAAAGGGAAGTGGTGACCAAAATTGACATTGATCGGGTACACTCCGATGATTCAAAGACTATTTGGTATGTAATTATCGTCATGAATTTGGATCCTCTCAAGCCAATTTTTTTTTCATAAACTCTGCCTACATCAATCTTACTATTCAGTATATGAGGTGGTAGAATCTAAACTACAATATGTAGAGTTAAGGGGAAAGTTTGGAATCCTTATAATTTTTTTTTTGTCGTATCTCCCTCCTTTTTTTTACAGGAGAGTTACTTGCTAGTGTATTGTGGTGAGAGATTGGTTCCATTACGAATTAGGAAAGATACTTAGAAAGCTTTATCTTCTTGTGGCTTATTGTAACGGGTGGGCGCTTATCCATTTATCCAAAAGTTCGAACGGTTAGGTAGTGTTACATACCCACCCATTTATACCCATGTTACTTTCCATCCGGATCCGATGTGGGACAAGTCTCCCCCACCCGAACTCACAACGCCCTCGTTGCGGTCGGGCCACCCTACCTACCCGGAGCGGCTCACCCGGACGCTTGGCGTGGCACCAGATCAAGGATTGGGTCTGGCTCTGATACCAACTGTAACGGGTAGACGCTTACCCATTTACCCAAAAGCTCGAACTTTTGAGTAATGCTACATACCCACCCATTTATACTTATATTACTTTCCATCCGGATCCAATGTGGGACAAGTCTCCCCTTGGAACACTTATCTTACCTCTTGTTACCTTGTATCTGTATTCCTTGAAGATGAAGAGAAAAGTCAGATCGGAATCGGATGGTTGAGATTAAACAAGTAGCAGGTTTCTGAAATCTCACACATCTACTGCCATACTTGTGAGCAGAGATCGGGGCCAAAACATGAATCCTTCTTTAAACATATCTATGGAGTGCTTTAGATATAATTTATTAGCTCAAATTTCATTTTTCAAATGCACAACATAAACGTGGTAATTGGGTTTCATTTGGACTTTGGAAAGAGAATAAAAGGAAAGCAAAATATGAGAACGAACGCATAGAAATAGATTTCTTCTTGGAATTGCATTTTTAAGCATTTCCCTCTTCTTTCTCAATTCCTTTCAAAGTTTGGAAAAAAAAAAACCTGTCCCTCTGTTTGAACCAGTTAAAAGTCCCAGAATAGACTAGTTCATTGTTACGAGCACCTTTTTATTATTCACAACATTTTAGCTCAACGGCATTCCAAAAAGAAATTCATTCAAAGCACTCCCACACTGAAGTTCCTTCAACTGGAACTAATTTTAAAATTGTAACTTTTACCACTTTATTTCTTTTTTCATTCTAATAAATATCAACATACACGTATTATTTGGTACAATATTGCTTTGAAAGTAAGATCTTAGCATACAACACCTAGTGGACATTTGTGATTACCCTCAACATAATAAATTAACATACAACAACCTATTGCTTTGAACACAAGAAACTAACAAACACCTCCTATCAGACGTGATTACTTTTACCTTTAAAAAAAAAAAATACCTAACATACACTACCTATCAAACATATGTAATTTGCACATGCATCTTTGGGGCATAGATACAACATAACCTTCCTGCACCATAGAGATGTGATGGCTCATGGAGCACTGTCATTGTACCCAATCAACCCAACGAATGGTATTGCACCAGCAACGATTTGAAGCATGTTGTTACCGTTCTGATCCACTAAAAATATAGCCAATTATCATGATGAATTCATAAAGTGGTATCTATATCTTTTTACTCCCGTGGCCGGGCAAGCCAAAGAGAACTGAGAGCTCGAAGCCGGGAGAAATAGTCATTTATCGCAAGAAGGGCGCGAGCTGACTGTCTGGTTGTCAATATACGGTGCATTTGTTGTAGTGTTTGTTGTCGTAAATTATCAGCCTGGTAATTTGCCAAAAAGAAAGTAGAAGACCTAAGTTATTTTTCAGAAGACCTAAATTGATCTGCAAAGAGCTTTGCTTTATTGCAAGAAAAAAAAAAATTGGGATGCTGACAGCCAGAAGTGGAATTAGCACATTAAACAAACTACACAGGCATGCAAGCGTGCAAGTGCACACACATACCCACAGACACACAGAGTCAATGATCCAACCATTAACTCGTTAGTACATAATTAACTAAATGCTAAAAATGTAGTGTTTTCTACATAAAAAGAGTTCACGCACAACCCAGGTTGGTCACAAACAGATTTCTCGTAAACCGGAAATAAAACCAGCAGATCCAGTAGTTCAAAATGACATGCTCTTGACGACATCACTTGGAAAAGAAAAGAAATTTGAAATCCTAAATCGCCAACCTATTAGAGGATTCCAAGTTAATTATACATTTACTTAAGCTTTCTTAGCAACCAATCAGAGCATATGAACCATAGAGGGTACACAAAACAGTATGATCAAATCAATATAATGGAATTACCTGGTGGAGGAAACCTTCGAGAGTTCCCAACTTTCCCATGGCCATTGCCATTTGACCCATGTAATTTGCCACATTTCCGGATGACCCTGATGTGCCAGGAGAGCCATTGGCTAATGTCTCAGATAGAGATTGCTGCAATGCCTCCATCCCTTGAGTCAGAGCGTCTTCTGCCTGTTGTGATGATTGCTGCAAGTTGTACATGCCCACTAACTGTTGCTCAGTTAGAGGCTCCAATTGATTCACAAGAAGCTGCACTGACGCAATCCAATTCAAAAACCAGAACTAGAAGATGCTAAAACTAAAAGTGGACAAGCTCAAAACAGTGTTAAGGTTATATTAATTGTTCCACGTGCAACGTTAAATACACAAGTGGCAAAAAATCAAATGCCTTAGCTGCCACAAGTTCATTAAGTACAGTTTATGTCGAGCAGCATTTGGAGAGTAAACCACAGCCACTAATTTTTACAAGTATGAAAGTCATGAATAGACCTGTAAACGGATCGGATACGGACCAGATCACAGTCGAGCTGAGCCGAATCTGATAAGCATAACAGGTGATCTGATCCGATTTGAATATCTGAAGGATTTTTATTTACTGAATCCATATCTGATATGAACTTTATCAGATGTCCGATCCAACAAACCCGGTCTATTTAAGCTATACACTGTAGAAATCAAACAATTGATCCAAACAATTACCTCTCTTTTTCTCGTCAAATAAATCAAACACAAAGTCTTAGCATGGCATGGGTTTACTGATAGTATGTTTTATATTTTCCAGTTAAAAGGTAGAACAAAGAGGATCACAACATTTTGTACAAGAAATACTGGATTTTGTACTCTATTAAAGAATGAAAATCACCACAAAGAGAGAAAAAGAAGAGAAGAGAGGAGGGGGGGATGGATCAGAAATTTCTTTTTCGTGAAAGATGGAAAATTAGGGGTTGTGATGGAGAAGAAAAAGAAGAGGGTTTGTTGAAAAAAAGATGGAAAATTAGGACTTGTCATTAAAGAAGAAGAAAAGGAGAAGTGTAGAAAAAGAGGAGAAAAGAAATAAATAAATCTCACTGCGCGAGGGTTCCGGTGAGAGTTCCAGTGGTTGACCAAAGCTCCCTTCCTGCTGTTTCTCTTAAGCCTGAGAATACTCCACGGTTCTGGAACTTTCATTTGGTTATGTATTGAAGTTTAGGTCATATGTATTGAGAGTTATTATTATGCAAGTGAGCACACCGTAATTTTGTATACATAACATTGTGATTAGTCATTTTAGTTAAATCTAAACAAATCTGATAGTTGATATTTTAAAATATAAAGACAATAATATATTATTTTAATCGGATCGAATTAGCTCTAATCCAAATCCGATTTGTTAAGTTAAGGGATTATTGTATTTGGATCACTATTGGATTATCGGATTTGCTACTCAAGCAGCAAAACGTGTCCCTCTTCCTGTACCCCAGAACCCACAAGTACCGGTAGAGGACCAAGAAACTACCCAACCCTGTACATCTGTAACAGTCACAATGGTATTATTGAAACTTGCTTGAACATGAATAACCCCCTTTGGTATACCCATGAACCAGCATAACCAGAACCCTCAGACTGGCCACCAAAGCTCTCCTCTGCTGGATCTGATGCGGGAAATGAGCCCAGCTGTCCATCTCCACTTGTTGGTTGAAGGCCAGCCCATCAAGAACGAGTGAACCAATTCTAGCTCGTGCATTCATACCTCCTCAGCAATCTCTCCGGAAGCAACAAGCCATGAGGCCGAAGGAGGCGAGTACCAACCAACACTACGTGAACCAATTCTTGGTATAGCTTTTGCCATATTTTATCAGCCCATAAATATGAGTCAGAGATATATGGATAATCTTTCTAAAAGAGACTCTCTAAAAGACCTGATGTACAAACAACCATAAAGGATCTGTTTTGACATGAAATCCATATCCAAATAATCGGATTGGATTTGGATCAGAATCCGATCCATTGACTGGTCTAGTCATGAAGAATCAGTAATTTTGTTATTCGCAATATCACGCCACAGCAAAAAAAAAATATATGACTCACACCTTTAAGAGTTCAGATGAGCGGAAGCCACCAATCCACATGAAACACCGTTCTGCAGGCGTTTTCCACATTCCTGACAAGATGTAAAAGACATCAGCCTTGGCTGCAATACCTTTAAGCTTGAAAATCTCATCATAATGTGCCGTCACATTGTCCACTCTACTGCGAAGTTCAGTGTCACTTGCATGTGAATTGACCGCCCCCCTAAGTTCACTTATCAGTCTGTTATGCTCTTCCCACCACCGTGTATATTCTACGTCAAATGCCAAGGCCCCTGCAGAGATCAAGAGTATCTTTTCTTCTTTAATTAATAGAAGACCCATTTTCTAAAAAATGCAATTATAGTTTAAGAAGCACTAAGAAATCAACCAAATAGACATAAAATTACAAAAATAAAACGAAGTATGCAGAGTAAAACGTTCTAGTCGTCAATCAGTCAACTAAGGTTAATTTCTACAAGCTCAACCCCAATTACATGTAGATAACCACCAGCACAAAGCTTTATACAATCGGACCAACTCCCACCCATCCCCGGGCCAATTAAATTTATTAATTTTTCCCTAAACACAACACAAAGTAAACCTAAATAATCCTAATGACAGTGATCAGTCACCATTGACACAGAAGCAACCACATGCACCATGATCTATTCAAAAGATGCCCCATGTAGAGGGTACCGAACAGCAAACAAAACTGAAACCAAAGCAAAAGTGAGAGTGAAAGCCGAAGAGTAACATTTCCAAAAATGGACAAGGTCCACAGTGTCTCAACAAATGCATAATGTAACATATTTATGGGGCACAATCATTCAAGACTCATTAAAAAAAATAATGGATTATTAATCCTAAGACAGATCAGTTGTAGCTCGATCATTCCTGCCTCAACTTATGTATCGTGAGAGATGTGTAAGAGAATGATGATGCTGCGAAACCAATGGGCCATTAGCCCAATGGTATAACCTCCCTATCCTCAAAGAGGAGGGGAGGGGTTCGAGTTCGAGTCCCGGTGTGGGCAAATGTGTGTGTGAGTACTTATCTGATAAATAAAATAAAAAAGAGAAAGAAAAGAAAGATAATGAATTGAAACCAAAGAACAGCCACAAGGGATTTTTCATTTGCTCTCAGAGAAAAACTGGAACAAAAGATGGACTTTAACATAACACATTATTTCTTAATTCTGACCCCAAATTACCTTCTTTTTAATAACCTTTTTCAAAATTTTTTTTTTTTTGGAAGTTGCATTTTTTATAATTGCATTCCTTAAAAGTGTCTTTTGCAACCCTTGTACACATGTAGTACACCCTCGATTTGCACTTTGCAGTTATCCCAATGGCTACTATGAAAGAACAATATATTTTACTCATCTGTGATCTGCAAAATCCAAAATATCTTTCCCGGTCCTCCCTGTCACCTAGTCAAAGAGAACAAGTGTTTTAGTTCCTACATCAACCCCTCCGCCTTTCAAATGACTGTCAATTTTCCCCCAAAGACATTTCATGAGACGGAATAGGGTAGCATTCCATGTATTTTTCTTTCTCAAGGTAATTCTTTTACATCTCTTGCAATGAAGAAATTTTTTACTGCTCTAAGAAATACAGTAGACATCCCAAACAGAACTACCTATAGTGCCCACACCTCTTTTGTCACTCTACAACTATCATGTAAAGAAAGAGAAAGGTAGCCCATCCACTATCTTGTTCCATTTGACCAGCTTACATAATTTACAACACTAATGAGAATTTCACATGCAACAGGATTCTGATTGTGATTCAAACCTTCCTTTCACTTTATGCATAGTATTGCTAGAGGTTAGGTTTAGAATCCACTCTCCTAGCACCCCGTGTAGGCAGAATCAACATTAGACCAGAGTATTTATTCAAACATTCCTTTCCCTATATAGAAACATCTAGATGGCTCCCAAGGCTCCATGTCTTGTGATAGAGATCTAAAAAATAAAGTCCAATTTGAAAATGCAAATTCATCATCTAATAATTCAACATGTTTTACTTTTCAGCATCTAAAATAATGACATGTGACCTAGAGAGAGAGAGAAAAAAAGGGGGTTACAAACTGAACACATAATAACATATAAATGAAGTACTCTATTAAATACTTTCTAGTTTTAATTAGAGACAAGAAGTGAGCAAGCTGACCAATCCAAATACTAGACAATTTGGTCTTTCTATTGACTGATCTCATAAACTTTTTGCATGCTCAATCTTGGGTTGGATCATTGGGCAGCCGGCAGCTTAGCTGGTTAAATTGACCCTTAATCCTTAATATCATTCAATGAAAGACTTCAAAGGCATAACTCTGCTTCCTTCTATCAATGTGAGAGCAGAACTGCTCCCTTCTCAAGTGCAGCCCCTAATAGATCACATAAGTAGGAACTCCCACTCAGACGATTTTAAAAAATGAGTTAAAGTAAGGCCCATTTTGACGTGTTTATTCTAGTGGAGCCCAGCCCTCTTTAACTTTTATGGATTTTTGGCCTTAAAAACATTGTGAGTTAATACTTAAAAGAATATAATAGTTACTAACATCAGGTGGAGAACTATCTAGCTAGCTTAATTTTGGCCTGCTTTCCATCCGAGCTTTGAAATGCAGACAAACTAGCTTCATTTTGGCTTGCTTTCCATCCGAGCTTGAAATGCAGGCTCATGTTTGACCACATCCAATCATAGAGACAGGTTTTGGCTCCGTGACCATCCAACAGTATTCCAATATATCATTTTGTGAATTGGTAGATTACATATGACACTGCTATAAACTTTGCATGATTTTTGGATGAAGTCTAACAAAGAGTTTAAATGTTGTTAAGTCTCCAGAACTTTGTTGTCATATTTTAAATCCAGGTGAACAAATTGAAAACAAATAAAGAAGTGGTACAAGAAAGCATGCATACCATTTCCAGTCATTGTGTGAGATTGATCTCCTGAGCTTGACACGAATATGCCCTATAATAAAAAGCAGTTTAAAAAACAAAAGTGTGTGAAACACATCACTATGTTAACATTTTAAACCGAAAATAAATAATTTAATACTTTTTTTTTTCCTAGTTGGTTAAAATAATTTAATACTGAATATATATATATATATATATATATATATATATATAATTTAATGTAGCAAAGGGGCAACGGAAGTGAAACCTGCTGGCGGGCACGTTGGACCTCCTGCTCAAGTTGGGTAAGCTTCAGTCGACTACTCTCCAGTTGTTGCACATAGGCCTAAAAGTAAGCACAAAAAAAATTCAATCAAACATAGTTCAAGTATTTTAGCATTATCACCTCACTTAAACAGATCTACTGAAAAGACAGTGCGTCAAGCAGATAATTATTGATACACCATCAGCAAATTACGATTACAGCATGTGCAACACAAGGGAGAAAATGATTTTCAAACAAAAAAAATTGAAATTGAAATGCAAAAACTTACCTTTTTTCTCAATCGGCTCTTCCTGGCAGCTTCACGATTTTGAGCAAGCCTTCGTAAGGTCTGAAATTAATGGTTAATAACTAAGAATTAGAAAGAAAAATGAACTCATCTAAAATACATGAATGAACGTAGTCTAAATTATGTAACCTTCTGATCTCCTGTTTTTTCTTTTGATCTGTCACTTGAATCAGATGCTACAACAGCAGTAGATTGGCCCCTTTCAAACTGTAAAAGAAAGTAGTAAAATGTTAACTAACAACTAAACTACATGGGAAGCCAGCTCCTCTAAACAATAAAGAGGTCTCTTCTTTTTAAATTTTTCTTTTGAGAACAATGAAAGAAACCATGAGTAAAATAAAGCAAAAGAGCTTCATCATAAAGAAGCATAGGGCACGGGAATTACTGAATAAGGTGTTAACAGAAAAATAGTTGAAGAATATACTTGAAGATACATCACCTTTTTATTTTTATCATCTGCATCCACGTCTGTGGAGGTATCAGTTCGAGGACTAGCATCTGCCATATTGGACTCTCCCCAGTTCTCAAGATGACCACCAGATACAGAAACCAGATTTGGCTGCGGTCCCTTTTGTAACTGTACTGTCTGAGACCCAGCAAGAGCAGCAGATAAATGCACGTTGAAGGAAGCGAGTGACTGAATATGCAATAGACAAAATGGAAGTACTTCAAACTTATTTAATTTGAAATCATATTACCAGACTTACTGAGAAAAGAAATCGTATAGCCATTCAAAAAATACCTTATTAAATGCTCCAAATTGGAAGTCAGAGCCTACTGCTTGGCTACTTGAATTTGTTGGATTTGATATGGGGTCTAAAACACAACAGGTTGGCCAGGGAAAAAAAAAAAAAAAAGAGTGAGATTATGAGGGAAACTAAAAATAACAAGGACATCATAAGAGGCAAAATCAGTCTTTCTTTCTTATGAAAACATAATATCATAGTTACACCTCAAAAGTACCAAAAACTGGACCGATACAATAAAAGCAACAAAATCAATAACACAGCTACCTGATCGATAAGCAATTCCTGTGTAAGTCACATGGTTTTTTTCAAACATCAACATTTTAGAATCAGGGTGTCTCTGTCAACTACTGTAGTCAAAGCATTTTCATTGACAAAGGGATTTGGGCTATAAATTATGTCAGCGATGGACAACCAAGTGATACAAACATCTTGAACACAGTCTTGAGCTCATGACATGTGGATAATACTGCTATGTTGCATATCTTCGAAGGGGGCAAATTAAGTAATTAAGTTTAGATTTGGGCTACAATTATGTCAATGACAGATAGCCATGTGATACAAACATCTTGCACACATTCATGAGCCCATGACACGTGGATAATGCTGCTATGTTGCATATCTTCAAAGGGGACAAATTAGGTATTTAAGTTTTGGCTTATACTGTTGAATTTACTAACCTTGAGAACATTGCATACTTCTGTATCTATGGACCTCATTAGCCCTTAGTTAGAAGGTATTTATGTATCTAGTCAACATTTAATCCCAAAAGATCGCTGGAAATTTACAGCATATTTTTTTATGCCATCAGACTTTTCCATGAATATACAGCTTTTAATGTGTTAATTTGTGAACCATGATCTTTTTTTCCAATTCTCTCGAGTCTATTCTCTGAGTTATTGGAATAAGTTTAAACCATACCCCAAAAGGTATTGAACCCTCTATTCCTTTATTTCCTTCTTATTCCCTCATTCTTTATCTAATACATTTTTCTAGATCTAGCTTCTTTTCTTCCCCTCCACAGAACTACACTCATCATTGCAGATTACATAAAATCAAATAGGGTGAAGTTTCCAGACCTCCAATCAACAGTCCATATAGTACTCCTTGAATAACTTTTCAATACTATGGAATATCTTATATTTGGCCCTATACATAGCTTCGCTGTCACTGGAACTATTTAACTGAACCTAGTCTTTTAATAAAATTTTCTAACCAAAGACATCAAAATGTGTTTTTTTAACACTACTTCCAATTTTCTTCATTTGTTTGGTGGCACTTCAATAAGTCCATGAATATTTTTTTTATCCTTTTTATCAAAAATAATTTTCTTAATAATAACTGTTTATTTTTGTAGTTCGGTTTCTAATCTGAAGTATCCAAGACACACAATCAGGAACTCAAATACGTCATTTGTAGGGAAGTAGATGGATTAGTACTCATGAACATGGGTAGCACACTGTAAATTAAAAGAAATCAAATAAAATAAAGGCCAAGTTCCCTGCATGAATGCAGCAGCAAGACTGATACTCTATGATAAAATGAACAAATTTGAACCTTGTAGTTGATGAAGTACCAATAACCAGAAATGCTAATTTAAAAGCTTATTTAAAGTACCACCAAGGACTGTGGCCTAGTGGTATCTCCACTCTCCCAAAGTGGAAGGTGATGGTTCCCACAAGGACAAATGGGTGTATGGAGTTTCTTGCAAAGGGGGAAAAAAAGTTAATTTCAAGTGTGATTAAGATTACAAATACATACATCTACTATTAGCAGCCTCTCCTATGCGAAATCCAAGAGATTGCTCGAGCGCCCCAAAGTCAGACATTTGAGAAGAATGAGTAGCAGTCTCCTCTGCAACACTGTAAGACACAAGTCAGTAGAACAGACAGATTGCAGCTATATACAAATGCAGCTAGCAAGCCAAACCTTTATTAACTCTTTATTCCTGAGTCAAGATAAAAGGGTAACATCATATAATACTTTTGGGTTGCCCTAGGAAATCCTAATGACAACTTTTAGTTGTGCCATCCCAAAAAATATGTCTGCATTCAAAAGGAGCCAATACTCATAACTTTTATTTCTCGGACCAAGGATGCCATTTATTTAATATCCATCTATTTTGAAATTTCAACAGCGTAGAATGACCTATAAAACCAAATTTTGGGATTGTGCTTTGAATATCGTTTTTATACCAATTAGGACCAAAACAGTGTTGAAACAAAAACTTCAAACTTAATTGAATTTACACCTGCTCTGAGACACATGTAACGAAGAGAAATACATTATTTCTAACTATTTTTAAGATTAAAGCAAGCACGCATGCGTGCACGCACAGAGATCAGAACTGAGTTTTTATTTTATTTTGGACAGGAGAGACCTACAAAATGTTTCTGTTATACAATTTCATTAATTTTGCTGTAGCTTATTTGACTGCTCAATGAGCACATCTACAGAATAAAGTTTGACAATTATCATAAACACGGCGTCTTGGAGATAAGTATCATTTCCAACCAGCAATTAAGAGTTATATTTGTAAAATATTGATTTGATTAATGCTTAAAGTGGCATATATACAGAACATACAGAGTTCAGTAGCTATCCTCATTCAAGGTTGATTGGGGTGGCCATAGTTTCCTCCTCATAATATAGTCTTGGCAGATGAGTATTTTATACTTATTTTGTGCTAATCATTATAATTTTTTTTTTTCCTGCCCAAACTTTAAACATATTTAGTTGGATAAAGAAGTCCCAACAATAGAAATTTAAAGCAGAAAGAAATATATCATGATTTTAACATTCAAATTTCAAACAGCATAAAAGTATTTCTTAAGTATGGACTGCAAGATATTCTCCATAAGCTGACAAACAGCTACTTCTGTAAAAATATAACATAAAGATGGTTGATCAAAAAGAAAAAATCATCTGATAAATATTAAAACAGGGCAATCAAAAACAAAATAATTAGAACTCCTACCTAAAAATAACAAGTACGGATGAAACAAAGCAAAAAATAAAAAATAAAAAATAAAAAAAAATCAACAAATTTAATTTAATTCGGATAAGAAATTTTACATGGGATTGGTAATGGGCATCTGAGGAACGTAGCTTGGCATCCTAACCGTCACACTTTTATCATCCTTTGCAACAATCTTCCCTGTTCCACTACCCATAAGTCACCACCATCATCACCACAACCTTAATTCTCACAACCAGGGAAAAAAATCGCAAGGAAACCTTAAACCACTTCAACAAAACCGACAATAACTGACGAATACCCAGAAACTTCTAAATCACAAACCAAAACCTAAAGATCATCTCAACCGCACCAATTCCGTAGAATTTTACCTAACAACAAAAATAAATAGTACTTGTCATAAACAAACAGCTAAAAAACTACACATCCAACTCCAATCCCAAATCAAACAGCATATTAAAACCTTCAAAATCAAATAAACGACCAGTAAACTAAAAAAGCAAAACCCTATAAACCCTACGTTGTTTCAGTACTACCTACCGATTAGAAACCTTCAAATAACACTGTATCTAAAGCAAAATAAACCCTACCCCTAACTCATCAATTTACAACATTTTAGAAGAACTGATATTTACCCAGCCCAACACAAAATTTGAACCTCTTAAACGATAAATTAATGAATCTTTTTTACTTCCCATCTGAGTCGCTGAACCAAGTTACCACTACGACACAATTTTATTTCCCTATAAAAATTTCACAGACTCAAAACCCACCTCGAATTTTGAGTTCTTTTCTCTCTCTAAATCGCAAGAGAAAGATGAGAGAGAACAGAGAGAGAGAGTGCGAGGTTTAGATCATTCAGAGCAACTCCATACGTCATTTTCTTCTGTAGCCTTTTTTATTTTTTATTTTTTTTCATTTTCCAACGCCCCCACTTTTCTAGTGTTTTCATGTTTTGAGTGGTAAGTATATTTTATTTGGCAAATTAAATAAGGGATGCTATTTTTGTTTTTTACTGCATCCACGTCCTCCCCCTAAACAATTTATGTGAACGACGTGAGCTGACCTTGGCATAAAAACAAAAATTAAATAAAATAAAAGACAAATAAATGGTCTTCTCTATCAAGTCTCAACAAATGAAGAAATCTTTAAAAAAAAAAAAAAAAAATGAATTCAAGATTCTACAAAATTTTTGAACTAAATCACCTATGACAAATAAAATTAAGAGTTTTAGTGATGACTATAACTTCTGTATTAAAAACAAAAAGAATGAAAGACATTCTACAAGAACATATCTCACACTTTACAAAATCAAGTAAAAAAACTAAAAAGTGTTGCATCTCCAAAATAACAATGTCAATTACCCACCACACTGGTTGCTCTCCTCTTTGTAGCTCCAATGTAAATTTGTATATATTTATAAGTTGTGTATATATATATATATATATCTACACACTCGTATATTATACAACATAATACATGTATGCATGTATTTTTTAAACGTATTGTAATACTTTTTAAAATTAAGAAAATTGTAAACACTTTGATAATTAGTTCAATATATCTCTTAATTTAAAACCAATTTAAAAATAAATCAGCTATGTTATAAAATGTTTCCCATCTCTTTTCCAGAAAATTAAATGAAAATATATTTCATTTGCTAGTTTTAAGGACATAACTTGTAGATAGAAGATAGGTATTGCAATGAGAAATTCTGAGGAGGGTCAATATTGAAACCATGACGGACACGAAGGTGAGCTTTTGATATTACTTAGTTTTTGTAACTTTGTCTGCAAATGTGTCACTAAATCCCCTCGGTGGTGGACTAAAGTTGATTGCCCTTTTCACCAAACTTAATTACAAAAGTTACCATCCGCAGCGAGTGTGAGATGAATGAATAAGGATAGGGGTAGGTAGGTCATTAACACGAGATTGAAAAACGTGCCAGATGAACAGTATGATACAGGTGGTTGACGAGTAAGACCCGCATTCCTTTTCCTGCGCCGCCCGCTAAGAAGCTTTGTAGAAGTTGCTGTAATAAATAAATTAACAATAAAAAGTTGAATTCAATTCACGATGTAGTTGGTAATTTGGTATTATTACTACCTTTTTTTTCCTAAAAAAAAAAAAAAAAGAAAAGAAAGAAATCGATGCGCAGTGTTGTTGGAGTGTAAGATTCTTCTTATGGTTGTTAATTAAATAACAGTTAATTATTACTTTAAATAAATAACAGTTAATTATTACTTTTAATAGATATTGATGTGACACAATTTTGTCACCAGCTAAATATTATACAATTTGTTGGGGAAAAAAAATTGTGTCGTATCAATATATACTACGGACATTATAAGTAAATTACATGTGGACCTTAGGCTATTACAACCCAGCAAGTTGGAACAAAAGGCCAAAATATTTGAGCTGAACAAAATGATCAAACTCGGCCCAAAAATCCAAACAAATAGCCTTTTGTTTTTAATAGGGCGAATCTTGATCCAAATTCGAACCAATTAGATAGATATGAATTGAAAAAAAAATTCAATAACACAATTACGATCCGAATTGAATAATCCGTTAATCTAACAAATCGGATATGAATTTGCTGATCCGATTCGATAATAATCCGATTCGATTCGAATAAAATTATATATATTAATAATTATATATATATATATATATATATATATATATATATATATATATCAGATTTGTATCAAAGTGTGATATCCCTCGGATCCGAGACACAAGTTGATTAGGCCCGGGTCCAAACCTGAGGGAAATATCAAACAATTAATATATAACCGAACACAGAATACAAGATGAAATAAATAATAACAATAAACTGGAAGAATACTAATTGAAATCTTCAAAAATATAACTAATGAAATCTGTTAAATCCAAATTCCGAAACTCCACAAGTTACAACTCGGGAATCCATCTAGTGGACCCCTTATTATTAAAAATCCCAATTGAAACTAAAAATAACTGAAATAGAAACTTAAAGTAAACATAAAAAAGATTCCTACGTAGTCGGAGGAATGAATGTCTGTATCTGCTCTGCACGTCCAAGTTTTAACCCTGGAACTGACGAACACCTGAAAAATAAAAGAATGGGTCAGGCCCACATGCAAGTCCTATTCTATTACGATCCAAACAGTAATCCGATACGCAAATACATCCTAGGAAGACTCAACAATATCTAGAGTAGTCCATATGTATATATATAGTACACACTATAGGACGCTCACTAGTCTAATAGATCTGTCTCAGCCTTATCTTTTTCTTATAATCATTGTTTTTTTATTCTCTTTTGACATTAATTTATATTTTTTTCTTTTTTATTATAAAAAAATCTACATTTTTTTCGAATTTTTATCGGATCAAATATCCGTTTATTAACAAATCGGATTCGGATTAACTTACAAAATATCCGTCGAATTATCGGATCGGATTGGATCAACTAAAATGCTTGTCGGATTCGGATCAGATTAGACCTAATCCAGTCCGAATCCGATCCATTTACAGGTTTGATTTAGCGAACTAACATTTAGCTGATGACAAAATTCCTGATTTGGTCCGAATCCGATCCATTTACAAGTTTGATTTAGCGAACTAACATTTAGCCATTAAACCAGAATATTTAATTTATAAATGACACAATTTTGTCATCAGCTAAATATTATACAATTTGCTTAATTTTTTCGAGGAAAAAAAACCATTGTGTCATATCAATATATACATTAAAAGTAACTTACATGTGGGTCTTTAGCCAATACAACCCAGCAAGCTAGAACACAAGCCCAAAATATTTGCGCTGAACAAAAAGATCCCAAAAATTCAAACAAATACCATGGTTTAACGAATTAACAATTAGCCGTTAAACCAGAATATCTGATTTCTAAATCCGGTACAAGCCCTAACGGTGATGAAGGACCTCTGGTCAAATGCTTCATTGCGGCAGTCTTAGTGGTGGTATACAGTAAGATGGTGGGAGATTCCAATAGAGAGAATAATTTTTTTAACTGAGCAATCCTTTAAAAATCCTATTTTAAGGATTGTGGTGATGGTGTGGGGATGACTTCCGACGAAAGATTAATTCATTCCGTTCTTCTCATGTATGATAAACCCATGAATAAGAAGCAAAGCTTCCTGACCAAGTTGATTGGTGAATTTTGCTTCAATCGTTCGTTGATCCATGTAACAAGATCATCCCAATCCTAAATCGTTGCATGTGTAGAACCTGCATTTATCTTGAGTGAATTTCCAAAATGGGGAGTTAAAAGTGCAATTGAAGAATAGATGGTTATGTGATTCTAGTTGGTTATGGCACATCACGCAAATATTGTGATGGCGAGCCATGATGTAATGTTTTCGATTTTTCATATTTTTTAATTCATGGGTTTTTCAATTTTTCTAGATTATTTTAATATTTGCCTCGTTTTGCGTGACGAACACCGTGGGGTGTGCTAGGTGTGGTTAGAAGTTGGTTAGGGCATTCCCTTGAGTTCAGGACTCTTGGAAATACATTGGTTGTCATTTCGGCATTTTTTTTCCCTTTTTGGGCCGGGAGGTCCTAGGTGGGACCCGTTACCAGAGTTATTGAGTACGAGGACTGTGTTTAGGGTTCATTATATTTCATGCATTTTGTTTTGTGCATATTTACATGGTTATATGTTTATTTAAGTGGTGGTAATATGTTTAGTGTATATATAATTATAATGTTATAAAGTGAGATTTTTATTAATGCCATGGGATCCACCTTTGTATCAATACATTACTAATGACTTTATGGTCATCAAATAACCACTATATCTCATCTCTCATTCTCGCAACTTATTCTCTGTATCCCAATTTTCATTTTTCTTTTTCTTTTTTCTTTTTCTTCCACAAACAAGCTCAAATATAGCCATTTCTATTGTGAATTTGATCTTGCCACTGAAGGCAAAGTTGACGAGCGTAACGAGGGCTTCGTATTGATTAGAGCAAAGCCCCATTTGGGCCACTTTATAATTTTAAAAAACTAGGGGTTTTACTTGGTTTGCTCTTCTAATTGAGGTAGGGGTGTTCTAATGCCCATTTCTTTGAGCTTAGTGAGTTAATCTCTTTTAATTGTTGTATAAGCATGTTTATATTATGTTAAATTCTCGAGATGTGATCCACATGTATATATATATATGATTTCTATGGTGTAAATATGAGCATGTTTATGTGTTAATTGTTATGTTGTGATGATATACATCTAAAATGATGACTTGGTATACTTTCTATGTTAGATGTGTTGGATTTGTTATATAAAAGCATGGTGTGTATTATTTTTAGAATTTCTATAAAAGCATGTTATATTCTTGTAGTTGATTACGAATTATTGAAATTTATAAATTATCATGGTTTAGTATGGCATGAAGCATTCATGCATTATCATTGGGAAAGAAAGGGAAAGATTAAAAAACAATGAAAATTGGTTTTGGGAAAAATGTTTTGAAAAGTATTTGCGAAAACCCGGACGCTTAGGAGTTGCCTAGTGGTCCATGGCGTTAGTGTGGTCTAAGGGGGACTAGGAAGAGACCCTAGCGTGGTTGAGCTACTTAGGCCTGAAACGACGCATTGGAGTTGCCATGTGGTTTGGGATAGCTAGCCAATCCTCATTTCGTGACACCGTGGAGTTGTCATGGGTCGGATTGCATTAACGATTTGGAACAATGAAACGAAAATGTTTGGGAAATGGGAAGCGACATTGGCATGCATTGTATACATATGGTTAGATGGCCTGTTTTGTAATTGTTGTTGATATTGTTATGTTTTTCCCCTATGACATGATCTCATTTACTTTTACTCTATGCTTTATGTGGATTTACGGGGTCTTAAGAAGTGTGTCTTAGACAC